AGCAGACTCCCTGCTGAGCAGGGAGCCTGATGCGGGACTCGATCCTGGGACTCCGGGATCATGACCTGAGCCGAAGGCAGTTGCTTAACCAACTGAGCCACCCAGGCGCCCGATCCGTTCCAGTATTTTAACCAAATCCAAAGAGCAGCATCCCCTTCGCAACTGTCACTTCTACCTTTGGACTCTGGAAATTGCCACCAGTCTCTATCCTCAGAAAACTCTAGGCCCCATCAGGTGATATCGCTGTGCACACACAGTGTCCAGGGGACAGTAGGTGGAAAGGTGGGGGAGAATGGAATTGCACGGATGGTAGGATTAAGGCCCCACGGGAGAAACTCTTCTCTGGCCTCCATACCAAGAATGCCTCTCCTTTCCCTGACCATGAGGTTGTGTTTGCATTAAGGGCACCATGACTCTTACATCGGGCCCCTTTCCCTCTTTACATCACCAGTTAGGAAGCTCAGAGCCAGGCTGTGGCACCTGGTAAGGAAGTGGGACCTTCCATGTTTGCCTGAGCCCTAACTAACCTCACACCTGTGGGTGTGCTTCCTCATTCTTGGATTTCCTTTGTCTCATTTTCCTTACTTTAAATATATTTTACTCTGTTGTGCTCATTTTTGTAAATCTTAAGTATCTTTTCAAGACCTAAATACTATTTTAAAATTTTTTAAAAATGCGGTAAGATTACAACTACATAATAGAACTGTGGATACCCAGAGTGCCTGGGTGGTCTTCAGTCAGTTAAGTGTCTGCCTTCGGTTCAGGTCATGATCCCAGGGTCCTGGGATCGAGTCCCACGTTGGGCTCCCTGCTCAGCGAGGAGCCTGCTTCTCACTCTTCCTCTCCCTCTGCCCCCCTCCCCCTGCTCATGTTCTCTCTATTTCAAATAAATAAAATAAAAAATTTAAAAAAAAAGAAAGAACTGTGGATAAGCAGTAGAAAGTAACTTGTGAGAAAAGATTATTGCATTGGGGTGATGGGATTATGAGTAATTTATTTTCCTTTAAAAATATACATTAATATTTTGAAGTATGATAAATAATATTTTTATTAATTTTTTTCTGATTATAAAAATATGTTCATCTTAGAAAATGTAGAAAAGAAAAATACAAAGATGAAGATATTATTCATCGTCTACATCTCGAGTAGATATCAGGGTTACCTTTTTGGTATATTTCTTTCTGTGCTTTTTTTTAGATGCATATGCACGTGTATCTGTTAACTGTATATTTTCCAAATTTAACTTTCTTTATAGTTTTTTGTACACTTGTTTTCAGGTAGCAGCACATTCTGGCCATTTTCCCTTGTTCAGGATTTCCCTACACCATCATTTTATTTTATTTTATTTTTTAAAGATTTTATTTATTTATTTATTTATTTATTAGAGAGCGAGCGAGAGAGAAACAGCATGAGAGAGGAGAGGGTCAGAGGGAGAAGCAGGCTCCCTGCTGAGCCGGGAGCCCGATGTGGGACTCGATCCTAGGACCCTGGGATCATGACCTGAGCTGAAGGCAGTCACTTAACCAACTGAGCCACCCAGGCGCCCTATTTTATTTTTTTTAAAGGTTTTATTTATTTATTTGAGAGAGAGAGAGAGAGAGTGAAGGGAGTGGGGAAGGACAGAGGCAGAAGCAGACTCCCTGTTGAGCAAGGAGCCCGACACAAGACTCGATCCCAGGACCCTGAGATCATGACCTGAACCGAAGGCAGATGCTTAACGGACGGAGCCACCCAGGCACCCCTGCACCATCATTTAAAATCACATTAAGTCGTATTGTCCTCATTTAACCATGCACCCTATTTATCTAGCAGATCCCCCCTTGTTGGACTCTTAGTCATTCCTTTCTGGGTTTATGTAGATGGCCAAACAAGCCATCTTCATCAAAATGTGTTTCTCCTACAGAACTGTTTTTTTTTTTTTTTTTCCCTTTCTCACTGCAGTGGTGTCGGGTTCATCATCCAGCTCCAAGTATGACCCTGAGATCCTGAAAGCTGAAATTGCCACCGCGAAATCCCGGGTAGGGCCCCTTTGCGTGTCCTGTGGAAGGGGGTCACGGCAGCAGCCACGGGCCCCTCCCCGCCCACAAGCCCAGAGCAGGTGCTTCCACCAGGCAGTGGCGGCCAGTGCCGACTGCCAGGATCCCGAATAATAGCGGGGGTGGCAGTTGTCATAGCAATTGTGATGGCAACCGCTGCTGCCATTTCACGGCATCCCCGGCGCAGTGCTCACTGCTTTCTGTCTTGAGTTCTCGAAGCAAGCCCGTGAAGCAGCTGTTGTCAGTGTCTGGACTTGAAAGACGAGCACACACGAGCTGAGGGGAGCTGAGGAACTTGCCCAGGGTCACAAGGACTCAGGCTGCCTCCACAGTGCTTCACGTCGTGCGCTGTCTTCCTAGCTGTTGCTTGTTCTCCATCGTCTTATTTAACTACGTCACAATAATTACTTCCTGACTTCTTGGGGATAAATAGGATCCCCATTGTCCGATGTGGAACTAAGGCACAGCAGTTAAGGGACTTGCTCGAGGTAAAGCCAGTATTTTGAACACTGGTTCAGTTACACTTCGAGCAGGTTCTCCAAAGTCAGGTGCCTGCAAGAAAATGTAGAAGGGGGCAGTGGGCTCAGGGTGAAGCAGGAGGGAGTGGTGGGAAGTGAGCAACCTAGAGAGCTGTGCCCTATCTAAAGGGGTCGTTGAATTTTAGCCCTCCCCTCTTGGGGCCATGCTGGAATGAGGGCTCAGTGTCAGCAGATCTTCTAATTTTAGAAAACAGCTATACTTAGGCTTACTATAGGAAATCTCTCAGTATTTCATTATTAGCAATGAACTTTTTTGATTTAATAACTGCAAGCCAAACAAAGCATTCCTGCAGGTCAAATCTGGCTCCGTGAGCCGTGTCTTGCCTCTCGCCTCCATGCACCGCACTCCCATACCCATTGCCTGCTTTAGGTAATGCACAGCCCTGCGAATGACCATGTTTCTGTTCTGTCTGAATAGGGAAGGGAGGCTCAGAGAGGCAAGGTGGCTTGAGAGAGGTCACCCAGCTAGGCAGTGGGAAGGCGAAGCTCTATCTCAGGGCCGCTAGCACCTGTCCACTTCCTGTTTCCCTCAAGTGAGGGCTGACCCAGGATGACCTGCAGGACAGCTGGGCTGGGATGCTGACTGCACGAGCAGCTGCAGAGACCAAGGCAACATCAGTGAGGGGAAGGTGTTAGGACCATGTGGCCAAGGGATATCGACCTGAGTCATTATGCAGGGGCTGTGGGGGGCTCTGGGTTCCCCTTAGAGGAGAAGGCAGCCCGTGGTTCCATCAATCACTGATCTAGCCCCTTCTGTGGTCTTCTGCCATCCAGGTCAACAAGCTCAAGAGAGAGATGGTTCACCTCCAGCAAGAGCTGCAGTTCAAAGAGCGTGGCTTTCAGACCCTGAAGAAGTAAGTCCACTCTGTCGTGCAGAGCGTGGGGGTGTCCCATGCTCCCCTTCCTGCCCCTATGTCTGTCTCTCTCATGTAAGGCCGCTCTAATCATTCAATTCCAGTTCTAGTCCACTGGTATTTACTAAAGATACTGTCACCCAAGGTTGAGGTGTAGAAAGAGACAAGGGGAATCATTTCATTCTGTTTTTCTGAAGATTTTATTTATTTCAGAGAGTGTGCAAGCATGAGCAGGGGGAGGGGCAGAGGGAGAAGCAGACTACCTGCTTAGGGAGCATGATGCGGGGGCCCGATCCCAGGACCCTGAGCCCAGGACCCGGGGATAATGACCTGAGCCGAAGGCAGGCACTTAACCAGCTGAGCCACCCAGGCACCCCAAGGGAAATCCCTTCAAACCAGAGTTCTCATTGTCCTCTGAATTCCTGAAGCCATTAAAGTCTGTCCCGTTCTGTTGAGTTTTACCAGCCAGTCACAGAAACAAGTACTGCTGGGCATTTCTGGGCACCCGTCTCATCTCCTCCAGGAGATCCAGTAGGATCTGGTACACACGCAAACAAAACAAACTCTTCTTTCCCCTGGCCCCTAAAGATGAGCAGCTAGTGTGCCCCACTGAAGGAACGAGGCTCTCTTCCACGACACACAGTTCACTAGACGAGCATGCACGGCACCATGCTCTATTGTTTTTTTGGAGCAGGTGTGTTGATTGCTATTATCATTATACTAGCTAAGATTCGCTGAGCAGTTTCTCTGCCGGGAAGCACTTTCATTGTTTCTGCCTGGGTGACCTCATTTGATCCTCATCACTCGTCTATAAGGAATGTTCTCTTAGCTAACTCCGCTTTATAGGTGAGGAAACCGAGTCACATAGTAAGTGCTCAGTAAGCATTAGCCTATCGTTATGAATAGTCACACATGCAACGAACACTTATGCATTGAGTCACGTTCAGTGTATTTGGTGGACTCAGTGTACAGTCATTGCAGCAGTGTCTGGAGCCCTCTTGGAAGCCCCAGGAGAGCAGCCAGTCGATTTCTCTGTTCTAAGGGACACCTCCCTTAGATTCCCAGGGAGGCCACATCTGTACAGACAGCTGCTTCTCTAGTCACTTGCCTTTTCTCTCTCTCTCTCTCTGCCTATACCTTTTCCTCAGCCTCTGAACCTCAAATCCACCCCGACCACTCTGTGGCCACAGCTCCGAGCCTTGGGATGTCTGTCTCCAGGCTCTGTTAATCGAGGGAACTGTGACCACTCTCAGGGGTTGATTGGTTCTTACTCACATCTTCCCATCCTCCAAGCTCCCACTGCCTGGGGAGGAGCTACCATGAACCCCCCACCACACAAGGTTTAAGAAAGTATAAATTGTGTATAATGCTTTTTTGTATTATAAATTGTTATAAAATATGGTTTTATGTGTGTGTGCTTATACAGATGCATATGTTATTAATATATGTATATATCCATATGCCTGTGACAGTCAAGAGCAGGAATATGAGTTTAGAAAAGTCCTATTTGTGATCTATAAAGCAAATAACCTCATGAGCCCTCCAGATTCTGAACACATAGTTTAAAGGTTACTCACTCCCACGTCATCTTACCGCAGGGGCCCTCCCCTCCTCCCCCTTCCTGCAATCCTCAGGAGCTTCTGGTTAGAACATTTCCCATTCTTCTCTGAGCCACCACAAACCTGTTTTACCACTTTGTCACCCTGTAGCAGCATTGAAAATTCTTGTTCTTTGGTAAGCTGACGCTGAAACCCCAAAGACAAGCCTCCTTTTTTTTCCTCCTCCCTCCACCCAACCGATGTTTGATATCAGGCCCAGATAAGACTCATGGCAGCCCTGACGCCCACACTCCCTACCTGAAGCCAGCTCCATGTTCAGTGCAGAGGAAGGCATCTGCTTTCATGCACACCTTGGCATAGAGGGTTAGGAATGTAGCCTCAAGGGGCAGATGGCCTGGGTTCAAATCCCAGCTCCCTGGGACCTTGCAAAAGTGACTTAACCCCCGTGAGCTTTGGTTTCTTTATCTGAAAAATAAGTGATTGTGAAGATGAAACTGAAGCGTGTGACAGGGCCTGGCAGTGAGTGTAAGGGTTGGCAAGGAATGTGAGGGGGTGACCTCTAGCTAGTTGCTGGCTTAGATTTGGGGAGGAACTCAGATGAACTCTGTTTGCCCCAGGCTAACAGCTCTGCTGCATAAGCATTTTGCATCAGTCACCTCAATTCACTGTCTCTCCCCCTTTAAGAGAAGTTTTTGTTCTGCCCCACTTTACAGATGAGGGCACTGACGAGGTTGAAAGTAGACCGTAGGCCCCCCCAGCCAGTAAGCGGCAGAGTGGGATTAGAACCCAAGACTTTGGGTTTTGCCGCTCATGTGCTAATACCTTCCTTCCTGGCTTCATCCTTAATAACCTTCTTCTCATACCCAGAAAACATACCCTCTTTCCACATCCCCTGGGATCTTTTTCAGAGGCTAGTGGTGGGAGATGATCTCATCACTTCTACCTCTCAGACTCCTCCCTTAGCAGAGCATGGGAGAAGGTGAAACTCGTCCATCCGTCATGACCATGTTCATGGTCAGCAACCCCAGTTTTAAAAAAAAAAAGGAAAGGTTGATGAGAATTGAAGGATATTTCTTCGGAGACTGAAAAGAAAAATCGCGATGAAAGCTCGGGACTTGGGTCCGTCAGCTGCCTCAAGCCCTTGTAAATAGGAAAGAATTGAGACTTAGCATGTCATCCCTGTGGGTGGAGGGCCATGCGGCATCTTTCCGCATGTCCCCAAAGCCGCCCTGCCCAGGTGAGAGTTGTCTGGACAAGACCGAGAGGAATTGGCTCCTGTCAGAGCCTTTGCCCTTCTTCTCTGTGGCTGTGCTGTGGCTAGTGGCTGTGTGAATCTCTGGACAGCTGCGTGATTTGGAAATTCTAAAACACAGGCAGCCCACTACACCCTCCTCTCCCCTGCAGCCACACAATTTTTCTTTCCCTTAAAAAAAAAAAAAAAAAAGATTCATTCAGTGAGCACATAATGGTGACCCTTTGTTCCCCTCCCCCCACCCCCCAATCCCAAGAGTGTTCCCTCTTGGAGCTCCTCTCTGGAGCCAAATTCCAGAGCCTGGGTTGCTAAGGCCCCTGAGGGAAATCAGGTAGAGGCTGTCTGAGGAGCCCAGGGCCCAGCAGACAGACCGCGTCTGTCTCATCCTGCTGAGGATTCAAAGCCATCCTGTTGGCAGAGGACAGCAGGGCACAGCCCCCTCCCCAGAGCCCCCAGCCCCGCTCAAGCAAATGGCATCTCTCCTGCACCCCTCCCCCCACCTTGGGGCAGGGCCACCTCCTGTCCTGGGGGTCCCGGCTCTCCACAGAGCATCTCAGGCAGGCCTCTGCTACCAGAAAGCTCCCTTTAGACTAATTTTTCAAACTAAATCTGAGACCAGTCTTAGCCAACCTGGCAGGCTTGCTCGGGCCCAAGTCCTCGAAAGGAACAGACAGGCTATTTTTAGTGGGGAGACATAAATGGGGCTTTGTTTTCTCTCCACGGAGGCTGAAATAATGGACAGGCAGGGGGAGGGCCGTGCTGAGACCCGGGTTCTCTCCCTCTCTCCTGCTCGGAGGCACAGACAGACCGGGATGAAAACCTGCTCCCGCCATCCGTGATTCCCCACTCAGGTTATTTTTAGCCCAGGACAGTTTGGCCTCTAGCAGGAAACCAGAGAGGAATGCCTGTGAGTGGTTTCTCATCCCGAAATAATGGGTTTGTGGTGTTCCCTCAGACTGTAAGACTTCCTTTTCTCCACTGGGGACTGAGACCTCAGGCCTAGCCTTTGGGGAAAATGTGAAGCAGTTAAAATTTATCTCTTTCCTCCGAAGCTTCTCCACACCACAGCCTCCTTCGCCAGAGGGCCCGGACCTCCACCATCTCTGATTTGGTCTGATCTTCAGAAAGTGACATTGAGACCCTTAATTATTTTTTTAACTCTTTTCTGCCACCAACATGAACCTGTATGGGGGGCCTAGATAAGCTTGATTTGGTCCCATACATCCTAGTCCACCACCTGACTGTCCATCCTTTATCCATTTGACATTCCTAACAGCTTCATGAACATGGGCTGGGCAGGTGACATTATCCAGGTGTTTTTAGAGGAGCAAGCCAAGCCTCCAAGCATTGAGGGCCGTGCCCAAGGTCATGCTACTGAGTAGCAGGGCTGGGAGATTTTCATCATTCGCAACTTTCTTTCATTATGCCTGTTGACTCCACAAATGCTTATTAGGAAGTCCATGGGTTTCAGCCAGGGATGATCTTGCTCCTCTCCCCCAAGGGGCATTAGGCAAAGTATGGAGGCATTTTTGGTTGTCACAACTTGAGGTCAGGATGCTGCTAGCATCTAGTGGGCAGAGCCCAGGGATGCTTCTAAACATCCAGCAATGCACAGGACAGCCCCCCACCACGAAGAATCATCCTCCTCAAATGTCAAGATAGTGAGGTTGAGAGACCCTGAGTTAAAGGAATGTTCTATGCCAGATACTGAGCGGATTCAGTCGCACCCGTGTCCCAAGCCTGCCAGAGACCAGTCAAGGACACTGCCGTACATAGTACTAAGTAGAACCCAACGTAATGGTTGTAGGTCACAGCTGCGCACAGTGTTATGGGAACACCTAGCCCAGCCTAGAGGACACAGGGAGGTAATCAGGGAAAGCTTCCTGTAAGAGCTGATGCTTAGAGGACCCTTGACTTCCAGGGTGGTGTCGATTCTGCAGCCCCACACCGTGAGACATTTCACTGGAACCTGCTGTGCCTTATCCCATAGGCCGGACCTGGGGAGGGAGGCTGTGCAGGACAGAGAGGAATCTTCTTACGGGACTGATGTCTGTCGTCTGCTTTTCCCCAGGGGAGACTCCATTCCTCACCCTATCTTTGTCTGACCTTCCCCATTGACTGTTTCCTAGAATCGATAAGAAAATGTCTGATGCTCAGGGCAGCTACAAACTGGATGAAGCTCAGGCTGTCTTGAGAGAAACAAAAGCCATCAAGAAGGCCATCACTTGTGGAGAAAAAGAAAAGCAAGATCTCATTAAGGTACGAGAGAGTTCCAGTGACGGGGATCCCACGTTGATTTCTCCTGAGCACCTTTCTGTGCCCGGACTCAGGCTGCTTCTGCACGCTACGCAGTCACTGAGGTCCCATCGCTGGCTTTCTTGGGCTTTCAGTCTCATTTTATGGAGTAGGGAGAGGAGGTTCAGAAGCATTAGGTGGCTTGCCTAAGGTCACGTCGCTGGCAGAGTTGTTCCAGGAGCCCTCTGCTCCAGTCCAAAGGTCATGTCCTTGCCACTCTTTCTAGCCACCTGGCTTCCTTCTCAAAGAACCGGATAGGGAGGCTGTTCCGACACCGATAGCCCCGACATCAGAACGGAACATCTTCATAAGTATTTCATCCCATGTTCTCCGTCTGTGCTGAGGACCGAGCAGATGAGAGTTGATGTGACTTCACGTGCCAGGCACTTTGCGTGCATCATGCCTCACTTATCTCTTACACCAGACCTAGTTCATCCCCTTCTTGCAGATAATGACGGTACAGCTCAGAATCAGTGGTGGGGCCAGGATTCGAACCCATGAACACGGACTCAGAAGCCTAGTCTTTCAATCCCTAGACACTCCACCTCCCCTCACAGGAACTACCCTGACCTCAGAGATACTGGATTTGTTTGTGTTCCCATTGGCACATGAGGATTCAGGCTCAGAGGGGCTGTAACTGATTTGGTGAAGGGAGCTTTACGCTCTATGACAAAGAGAATGATCTCGAAGCTCTTGCCCAGGGCAGCAGCCCAGTGAAAACATTCAGGCCCTGGTGGACAGGGAGCCATGTTCCTATTGTGATTAGCATTTAAGAGCACTGAGTCTTAAGTCAGACAGACCAGGACCAAATCCTGCTCTGTCATTTGCCAGCTTCTCCATGCAACATCTCCCTTATGAATAAGATGGGGACAGTCCTAGGATTATCAGTCCCAGGTCTGATGTCAGGATTCAGTAAGCTGATGCTAACGCTGACAGGTGCTGAATATTGACTGTACTGGCACCTTGCCCTGGTCATCTCGTTAAATCAGTATGGTAGTCCTATGAGATAGGACCTATGGTTATTCCTACTTTTCAGGAGAGGAAACTGAGGCACAGAGCGCTTAATCAACTAGCTCAGGTCACACAGCTAGGGAGTAGCAGTGCCAGGATTCCAAGGTAGGCAGTGTGGCTCCAGAGCCGGGGCCCATAGCATTCTCTCCCAAGTAAAAGACCCAGCCCGGTGCCCAGCACCGAGCAACTGCCCACTTACTGCTAGCTCTTTACTTACCTTACCGGAGTGAGTGTGGCTTCCTACTGAATGACGCAAGGTGGAGAGGGAAGCATGCGGAGGGCGGCAGACCAGAGCTGCCTCCCGGGCAGTTGTGTTGCTAACCCTGCCCCCCTCCCCTCTTTAGAGCCTCGCCATGCTGAAGGATGGCTTCTGCACGGAAAGAGGGTCCCACTCTGACCTGTGGTCCAGCGGCAGCTCTCTGGAGAGTTCAGGTTTCCCGCTGCCGAAACAGTACCTGGACGTGAGCTCCCAGACGGACATCTCGGGAAGTGTGAGTAGGCTGTGCATCCAGGAGACGGCTGTAGAGGGCAGTCACCTTCTCGTTTCTCACCTGCGGAGTTGACCGGTGTCTCTCTGGGCCTGGCTGCTAACTCAGCCTCCTGGAGCTCCGTTCTCTTGCAGACCGCTTGGCCCCAGGATGACATGAGGTGATGGTGTGGAGGAGAAGCCAGCGCTGACTCCAAGGTCCTGAGTGTTGCCTGGCCATGTGCTTGCATCTCTAGATGCTGCACAGAAAGCAGGTCTGAAGGACCAGGGTCTCTCTTGGGTTCCCTTCTTACAGATTTGTAACACCATTCTGCTTTTCTTTCACCAGCTATAAATCAGGTGATATTTTCCCCTCTGTTCATCCCGGAACGTTACATGTGGCTTTCAGACAGCTCTCTTCAAAAGCTCAGGCTGGTCACTGTAGTGAATAGTGTGAGTGCCATCCGGATTTACTCCATGGAAGTTTTAGAGCAGGACTGACCCATGGCCGTCTGGCTCATTTGGAGAACTTTTGTTTTCCTAGAACAGGTGACATTGAGCAGACCCACCTCCCAGCCTCCGTGGCTAAATGCTATTCCTCTCTGTTTCCTATAGCTGTGTCCCCACTTGTGAAGAGACGTTCTATCCATGTCTGCTTGGGTGAGCCCTGGAGCTTCTTGCCGCTCTTGACAGAATGATGCGGCCAATAGGCTGTCCCCTCCTTCTCCATGCCACCCAAGTGTCCAGCTATAAGCCACCGTAGCCCTCCCTGCCGGTTCTAGGACCCTCTTCTCAGTCACTCAGTGTTTCAGTCCTGGCTGCCGCCTCCCTGAGTTTTCAGCGGAGCCCCTCCCCAGCTCTCCCAGGATGCCTTTCTTGTATATTGGCTGCCCTGTTTCCTCCTGACCAGCTGTCCTCCATGCTGCTGGAGCTTGAATGGGCTCCAAGCCCTTCGGGGCTGCAAGATGATATTCTGGGCGCTCCGCTTCTCTTCTGGAAGTGATGGATGTCTGAGTTTGGGGGTCTTCCCACAGCCTGCAGGAAGGAAAGTGTCTTTGCCTGACTGGCTTCCCTGCGATCACACAGCCAACTCAGTAATTGGGGGCTATTCTTAGCTACTTCCCACGCAAGCTGTCAAGTCTCTCATGAGCTCTTGAAATCCAACTCCGCACCGGCCACAATGGGCCTATAATTCCCGACTTTGTTCTTTCCCCCAGTTTGGCACGAGCAGCAACAATCAGTTGGCAGAGAAGGTCAGATTGCGCCTTCGATATGAAGAGGCTAAGAGAAGGTAATTAGGGGCTGGGGGCGGGATGGTTCCAGTTACAGCAGCTACTGTTGCACAGTGTCTGCTCCTTGCCTGACTTCTCATACACCTCCTTCTCTTTAGTCCTCCAAGATTATGAAGATGAGGATTATGGTATTTATATTGTAACCCTCTCTGAAGCTCAGAGAGGAAATGACTGAGCCAGGGACGCTTAACTAGGTAAAAAGTGGCACTGTGCTTTGAACCCAGATCTCTGAAACCTCAGAGCCTCGTTCTCTTTCCACTTACTCGGCTCGGTTTCTATAATCAGGGTTTTCCAGTGATCCTGTAAGTAGCCTGGTTTGAAGGAGCACAACTGAGGTTTTTAGCAATAAGGTGAAACAGACCCTGGACGCTGAACACTTCAGAGTCTCCTGCCCAATGGGGAGCCAGCCATGCCTACAAACCGTGTAGACCCCAGTGACTTTAGACGTTCTGTGGCTTCACGGGCTCCTAAGCAGTTGGCTTCCACCGCCACAAAGAAAGTTAAAACAATAAGCAAAGCTGTTATTTTTAGAGCATCTGTTACGCACCAGGTATTGTATTAAAGCATTTGTATGTGTATCGTCTCACTGAATTTTAGAAACAACCTTATAGCATAGTTTGTGTTATCTCCACGTTAGAGAAGAGAAAGGTAAGATCTAAGATGTTTTATGACTTTTCAAGATGATGGATTAGGATTTTGAACTCTGAACAGTCTAGCTCCAAGTCTGTGATCTCCGTATGCACGAAGCCAGCCTTCCTGGGAAAGAATCCACAGAGTGTGCTGGTGAATGAAGCCAGGCATATTGTATCCACATGCTGCCTGGCCCATGGACATTCTAAGCCAGGCCAGATAGAGTGTGGCAGTGCCCGGCTCTGCCCCTCTGCCAACTCTGTGTGAGCCGCAGAACCCTTTGCAGCAGTGACAGAAATCCTACAGAAACTAGAAGAAGCAGCAAAGGAAATTTGTTGGCTTATTGAATTCCAAAGTCCCAGGATAAACCAACTTCAGGCACAGCTGGATCCAGGAATTCAAATCATGTTACATAGACTCAGTTTTTCTCTTCTCTACCCTGCTTGCCTTTGTATTGACAGACTTTCCTATCAAAATGTAAAGGTGACCCCCAGCAATTCTAGAGTTATATACTATCAGGTTAGCAACCCCAGCAGAAGGAGGACCTGCCTTTCCCAACAGATTTAACGGATTTTGAGTTTGAGGCTCCCTGGGTTTTCCTGGTGAACCAATCATTGTTGCAGAGTTGGAGGAATTAGAATTCTCTGAAGGTCCAGACATGCGTCATGTGCCTAACTCTGGGAAGGGGATTGAGATTAGCTTTGTGGGACCCAAGTGACTTAAGTATGGTAGGAGTGATTTCCCAAAGAAAATGTGGAGTATTACTAACAGGAGGAGGAGCAATTGGATCCTGGGTCAGGTAGAGAAAACACTCTGTGCATTATTTCAGCTCCCCCTAGAGGCCCAGCAAAACAGCAGGACTTCTGCATTTGGACAGCCACTTGTCCCCTCTGAAGGGGACCACTCTGAACCCTGGATCCATTCCAGCCTGCAGTAATGCCTATCTTAGAGGATCAGTTCTGGAGAGACCCAAGGACTGAAATCTCCCCTCTGGGCTTGAGCCATTAAACTTCTCATCTCAGAGCTTCTTGGCTCATCTGCCATTACCCAGCTTCACGCCTCCCTTTTCACCCAGAGGTAGTTTAAATGTCAAGGAGAGAGCGGCCCGCTGAATGGAAAGCAGAGGCTGCAGGGCTTAAAGAAGGGAGGGCAGGTGGCTGTAATGAAAAGTCTGCTCGCTAAGTTTTGTCATGTGTGCATTTCTGCAGAGCGAGTCCAGTGCTTTTCATCAGATCCACCAAAAGGTGGGTGGCCTGAAGGTTAAGGAGCACTGGGAAAGCTCCACTAAAAAGTACATCTAAGCCTTAAGCATCGATCACCCCTTCAGTGTACTGAGCCTAGTGGAGCCCCTGCCAGACCTGTCCAGATCACTCCATCCTCAGAGTGGCGGAAGCTACAAAGTTGTCCCAGATTACTCTCTTTGTGAATGTGGCACATAAATTAATCGACTCCAGGAATCCCTCTGATGCAGGTGGCTGGGGACTGAGCAAACCTAGATGTGTTTGCGTGGAATTTTCACGACACGCTGTGGAGATTTTGTCCCCAGCGGTGTTTCTATAAATGAAGGGTTGGGCCACACGTCCGCAGATAAGATCGGACTGGGAGTGCCGAGGCCTGGGCACTCCAGAAGTGCCGGCCGTGTTTATGACGTGCAGGCTTAGGTGATCCATCTCCTCTGTGGACATCTGTCCAGCAACCTCACTGCCAGGTCTTAATCCACACTGTAGGGATTGGGTGGGGCAAGGATGTGATGTTGAAGGTCTTTGCAAAAGCTAAATCCTAAAGGATCACATCATGATTGCTTTGAGATATTTGTAGCAGTCATCTTAGTTATATTGTGGATCTTATTTTGGTCCAAAGATAATTATACTTTATATCTGTGCAGCAGGCGCTTGGCAATGTATAAAGAGCTCTTGATGGTAAGTTTTCATTCGGGTCTCATAACCCACCTTGCAGGTTCCATTATTGACCCCACCTTACAGGTGAGGAGACTGTCTCCAAGAGGTTAAAGGTGGAGCTCCCAACTCCTTCCTTTTAACATTTAATAAGTGCCTGTAGTGTTCCAGGCCCTGTGCTAGAAGCTCACGATCCCAAAATGGTCTAAGAATGGCGCCTTCTGTCGAGAAGGCCAGAGCCAAGACTCTCCGGCTCAAGGCCTCTGACCCCAGTCTCTAGACCGGGAATACGCGGTTAGCAACTGCAGTATTTGCCGTCGTTGTAGTGGGCCCCCGATGGCCATTGGTTGAGCACCTGTTAGTGCGAGTTCCTCTGAATACGTTATTGCTCATTTTCAGAACAAGGCTCAAGGAGTTCACCCGACGTTCTATACCTAATAAGTGGTCGAACCAGGTAATAAAATGGTAGCAGCAGAAGCATTCGTTTTAGTACCTGCTACGTGACAAAGACCGTGCTTTGAGAGCTCATGGAATATGTCTAAAGCCTTCCACCACAACCCCATGACAAAGAAGCTTTCATTATTCCCTTCAGAGACATGAAGCGACTTGCCCAAGGTCCCATAGCTGGCGGTGGGAGGTTATTGCCTGGTGATGAACCCAGCTCTCTGTTCTACCAGCCTTCGTGTCCCTCAGGGCAAGGACATTGCCTTGTTTACGTCTCTTCCCCACCCCTGCAGAGCCTACTCGTTGTTGGCACAGAGTAGGCACCCCATGTGTTGGTTAGATAAAAATAGGTTCCTTGAGACGACATGCTAGTCCGGTGAAGACAGTCACCACCAGAGATGGCTCTGAGGCTGTCATGGCTCCTTGTACATAACCTTAGAAACACAGTCTGTGACCCTGCTCCCACTGTGCCCCTCTCCGCCCACAGGATCGCCAACCTGAAGATCCAGCTGGCCAAGCTTGACAGCGAGGCCTGGCCTGGAGTGCTGGACTCGGAAAGGGACCGGCTGATCCTCATCAACGAGAAGGAGGAGCTGCTGAAGGAGATGCGCTTCATTAGCCCTCGAAAGTGGACCCAGGGGGAGGTGGAACAGCTGGAGATGGCCCGGAAGCGGCTGGAGAAGGATCTGCAGGCAGCTCGGGACACGCAGAGCAAGGCCCTGACGGAGAGGTGGGGCTGGGCTGGGGCCAGGAGGGCGCGTGGGGTCCTACCCTTGCTGCCAGTCTGTGCTGCAGCCCAGGCAGGGGAAGGGGCAAGGGGGACCACCTGGGGCACCTGGGCTCCGCCCTAAGAACACTCAGCCTAAAGATCCCACAACTCTCCCAAGTCGCAAATTGGGGGAAATGATTCACCATCCAGAATACCAGCTCCCTGGGAGTTTGCGCAGGGAATCCCAGTACCAAAATGTCTGCTCGGGTGCAGGTTTTCAGAAATTATCTTCTGACTAAAGCCACATAACCCTATGTAATGTAGAGCAGTCATTTGCCAACTTTGTGGCAGTGACTCCCGTGATACAGAAGTTTCACGAAACAGTGCATACTCTTTCTATGTGTGGTAGCCCTCTGATAGTGTCTCTCTTACATTGCATTTCTTCTCATGATGGTCATGACCCACTGATGTCACCTCAGGCTGAGGGGTTTCAGTTTGCACTTTGCAGAACACTGGTTTAGAATGGGGGGTGCAGGTAAACTTGCCTACACCCCAGCGGAAGCAGGCCAGACGTCCTAGGTGCCTGGGTGTACGCTCTCTGCGTCACCTCGTGATGGGTCCTAAGATACCTTCAGGGAGCCTTCTGAGCTCTACAGCACCCAACTCTAAATCGTACCCTAGCACCCGAATAAGCCCCACTTGCACATGGTGGGGTGCCAGATGGATCAAGGTGAGCAGGCTCTGCCTGGCCCCTTGTAAGCAAGCACATCAGAGTCCAGTGCTCATGGCTGCGAGCATCCTATGGAAGAGAGGAGAAAGCCAACCCAGCGGTCTTTTGTCTATGTCTACAGCCGTTTGCTTCTGGTCCCGTGTTTGTCTGTCTGTCTGTGTTCATCCCCCGGACTCTGTTGTTCTCTCTCTAGGTCTCTTTCTCTCCCATTTCTTCTGTTCCTCTCTCCGATCTCTCCCTTTCTCTCTCTCTCTCTCTCTCTCAGACTGGGAGTATCATGCTCCTCATCGTCACACATCAGCCTCTCCACTCCAGGGGCCTTTGAGAAGGACAGGGATGGACACATCCAGAAAGGGCACCACAGGCCTGCCAGACCTCAGTCACACATCAATCACCATCAGACATCCCAACACCCCAGGTCCTACCCCCTGCTTCCACCCTCCCCCTCTGTGGGCCCCCACCACCACTTCTGAGAGCTGCTGAGCACTCACACGGGGGGCTGGTTGGAGCATGGACTCCCTGGCCTCTCCCCAGGGACCAGTTCCCCAGCCCTGAGACGCAGCCCAAGCTCTTGCATTTTGAGCCAGCACCCCAGGTACTGAGCTACAGCTTGTGGGGATTCCAGCTCCACCTTCTGGAGCCTCTCCCTACTTCTGTGCTTGATGTGTTTGTAGCTTCCCAGCATGTGCCAGGCATCACACACAAATGCCAGATGGCCTGGCAAGCTGGCGCCCCTGGGAGGAGGCCTCGGCACCTGCGTGTTGCTGCAGGTGGTTACACCCCCACGCTCAGGAAGGTGAGGCCACCCGATTCCCAGTCCCCTTGACATCCTGGTGGGGCTCTGGTGGGGCCTACGTTTTCTCCCAGAACACGACTCTGTGACTTTTCTCCCAAAGAAGGGGGGGCAAATGAAGGTAGAAAGGGTGAGCCCCAGCTGCTTCTTGGCCCCACCACCCCACAGCCTTCCAGGCCTCTGCTCTTAAGGAGAGTCAGGAGATTCCACAGTCCTCTCCATTCTGTTGAGTCAAGGATTTTGTGCACCACGGGCTCCATCTGCCGGCCTGTGCTGCCTGCTCTGCCAGCCCCAGGCGGGGACTCTGAAAGAAGAGCGCCAGGGATTGAACTGGCCAAGACCCATGCCGAGCCCCTCACCACCTTGCTGAGTCGTGTAGAGCAAGTTCTGGTCTTCATTGCAGAGCTTGTGTTGGAGGTCCGGGTGTGTTGGTGGAGGTTTGGCATGGTTGGGTGTTTCCATGAGAATGAACTCTTTCTCCCAGTCCCTTGGCTGGATTGGGTCAGTCAGTCCCTCCCTAGCAAGATGGCATAAGGGCATGTGAGCCCCACAGTGGAACACATTTGTCTGCGGGAGATAGAACAGGCAGGTCTTTCAGCAGAGTGAACGAATTTTGCCTCCCTCCACTGGGAAAAAGTGGTCCATGCAGCCAATACTGAGCACAGCCGTGTGGTGGGCACTGTGCCGAGTGCCGGAGAGCAGGACATACCACTGCAGCAGCTTGTAACCTTCGTGTGCCCGAAATCACCTGTGAGCCCTCTGATGCAGATGCATGGGCCCTGCCCCGACTTTCTGATTCAGTTGATCAGAGGAGGACCCAAGAAGGAGCATTTAATAAGCATGCCTCCCTTTCCATTGCAGGAGGTCTGCAGACCACACTCTGAGAACCTTAAATGTAGTGGCTCCCTGAGGGCAGCCCACATTCTGAGTTAGTGAGGGCACAAGCCCCTTCCCTGTCAGATCCTGGGACCTTCGAGGGGGCTCACTCCAGCAGTTAGAGGGGGCCATTCCAGGCCCACACCAAGCTGCCCTCCGTGTGGGATTTCAGGAGAGGCGGGGGAGGGGGACTGAGAGGTGGGTCCGGATCCAGCAGATTCTTCTAAAAGCAAGGATTTTGCTTCCAGGGAGGTCATTACTGACATGGGCTTTGGTATCAGCAATCAGCCATGCCTCCGTGCAGATCTTTGCTCCCACGTTCCAGGACACTCCACCACACTCACCTGCCTCTTCTCTGGGCTCTCTGGCCCCACTCTCTTGGGCTTCTTTGCCTACTATTGCCAATCCATTCAACCGTGGAGTGCTGTATGTACTCAGAGCTTAGTGCTGGGCCCTCCCTTTTTTTCCCCATTACATTTTACCCTACGGTGGTACATTCGTTTGTTAGGGCTGCCAAACCAAAGTACCACAAAATAGGTGACTTCAATAGCAGAAATGTGTTCTCTCACAGTTCTGGAGCCTGAAGCCCAAGACCAAAGTGTTGCCAGAATTGTTTCTTTGGAAGTTTCTCTCCTTAACTTGACGATCGCCATCCACACATGAACGTCTGCTATGTCTTCACTTGGTCTGCTCTATGTGCAGGGTGTGTGTCCTAATCTCCTCTTATAAGAACACGGGTCATGTTGGATTAGGGCCCATCCATATGACCTCATTTTAACCTTAATTCCTTAAAGGCCTTTTCTTCAAATACAGTCCCATTTTGAGGTACTGGGTTATTAAGACGTCAGCATAGGAATTCTGGGGTAGGGGGACACAGTCTAATCCATAGCAGATGGTCCTCTCTTTCGTGTGGTGAGCCATGTGATGGGGGTTCCCCACCTTGGCAATAGCCCACCTGTTCAGCGTTCAGGCCCACACATCCATAAGAGAACTGTTCTCTTCCCCTGGCTGCTCCGCCCCTCGCCTTCCCATCTCTGCAGAAGCCATCTCCGATCTGTTCAGTTGCTAGTGGCAGGTACCTCACAGTCTTCCTCTTAACTCCCTCAGCCTTGCCCCTCATCCAGCCCATGACCTTTCTCTGTCCTCTCCAGTGTCACCCTGGTCCATGCCATCTCAATCACACCATCGTAGCCACCCCAACCTCTTGTCCCTGCCTCACGTCCACAACCTACCCCTTTTCCTCACGGCAGCCATTGGTGACCTTAAAATGAAAGTGGCCCCCGCTGTGATTCCCTGCTTGGAATGTTCTTTTCCCTGCACTTCTCCTGGCCAACTCCTGTCCATCCTTCATATCAGCTTAAATGTCTCTGCTAGTCAGGGCAGGCCACCTGCCGCCCAAATCTCCATGGTTTAACACAGTAGAAGCTTGTTTCTTGCCTACATAGCATCCAGTCGAGTATGCCTGGCTGACAGGCAGCCTTCCATGTGTTGGATCATTCAGGGACCCAGGCTCTTCCTGTCTGTGGCACCTCCCCTCTTAGAGCTCTCTAGGCGACTGTGGGGAAGATCCACCGACTTAACCCACTTCGGCCTGATGTGCCTTCTTTGCTCACATCCTATTGGCCAGAACCCTGTCCCATGCCCTGCCCGCCCAGCTGCACGGGAATCTGTGAAAGGGTCCGGCTGTGGGCTCAGGGAGCCGAGGAGAGCATAGATCCTCAAAAGAGGCCCAGCCACACAGTCACTTGCTCAGGAGGCCCACCTGCCAGTCTAAATTGGGTCTCTCCTGAGTTCTTTTCTACCATTCTGTACTTTATCCTCATAAACCCTGACACACGATGTGTTAGATATTAGAGATTCGAGTATTCTCTTAATATTTGTCCTCTCCCCCACTCCGCAGCAGAATGTAAGCGCCATAGGTGCAGAAACTAGTTCTGTTTCACTCACATCTTTATCCCTAGTGCCAACAGCAGGTTCTGGTATGAGGTAGGCACTCAGCAAATATTGGTGGGTTGGCTAGGGGCCAGTGGATGGGAAGGAAGACGGGAGGGGAGGGAGGGATGATTGGGTAGAATTCTAATTCTCTAGGTTGAAGTAAATTAACTCTAAGAGCCTCAATTTCCCGTATGTAAAGCGGTAGAAACCATTTCAGCTGTGCAGGGCTATTGTGCAGATGAATTAAGGCTGTGTGACACATTTCCTCGTACAGCACCTGGTATGTTGTAGGCGATGAATATAGTCGTTACTATAGGATCGTACGTGGAGGCCCTGTCTCCCCAAACGTCGTGGTAAAACGCTTCCGGAAAATTCCTGTGTGTGTGACTGTGGGTCTGTGTGTACATCTCCACAAGTACCTGCCTATGATTCCTCGTTCAGATGGACGGAGGCTGGATCTCCTGGGGCTCACCACTTGTGCCCTCTGTCCCTGCAGGTTAAAATTGAACAGTAAGAGGAACCAACTGGTGAGAGAACTGGAGGAAGCCACCCGACAAGTAGCGGCTCTGCACTCCCAGCTGAAAAGGTGAGTGGTGCGGGCCGCCTGGGCGTCTGCCTTCGGCTCAGGTCATGGTCCCAGGGTCCTGGGATCGAGCCCCGCGTCGGGCTCCCTCCTCCGCGGGAAGCCTGCTTCTCCCTCTGCCTGCTCTGCCTGCTTGTGCTAGCGCACTCTCTCTCTCTGACAATTAAATAAATAAAATCTTAAAAAAAAAAAAAAAAAACCAGGTGAGTGAGTGGTGGGCAGCAAGTGTGGCCGTGGGGCTGGGCTCTGCCCTTCCTGTGTCCACCACAGCTTGAGTGTGGACATTTAGAAGCACAGCAGGCAGCTGGTTAGGCTGGTGCACTTGGGCTGGGCCTGGTGTGGCCAGGGGCGCGATCCTTCTCTCTGGACTGCGGCACCCTCAGTCCTTCTGCCAGCACCGAGGAGCAGGCCCCCGTCAGAGGCCGGTGTGTCCCATTGACGTCTCGAATACCTGCCCGCCTGCTTTCCCGACACAGAGAGCGCAGGCCTCGGGCCTGGGCCTTGGTGGGCGACAGTGCGTCACTGGGATTTAATAACATTTTGTCCCATCAGAGATTTGTAATGCTCGCCTTCTATTTGCAGTAAGTGATGCTGCTTTTCCAATCACACTTAGGATATGAAGTCTCCTTTTTAAGATAAATGTATTGAAGAGTAAAGACTGAGTTTATCTGAGGAAAATATCAAGAAATAGGGCTGGATTCATACAGGGAAAGAGTGTGCAAACGGACTAGGGCCGGTGGAGGTTCGGGAAACAGGAAGAAGTGGGCTTCTGAGGCAGCTGACTTGGGTCTGAATCCCAGCTCTGCCACTTTCTTATTATGTGGGCTTCTCAGGGTATCCTCTTTAGTGAAATGGGGGTGCATGGTCTCCCCTGGAGACTGTCAAGAGGGTGCAACAAAATTCAGTGTTGGAAGTGTCCATAGTGCTGTTCAGAGCCAGGAAGGGAATTCCAGGTGGCCCCCTACCCTCTGCGTGTTTTCACCCTCTGTCCTCTCCCCGCCCCCAGCCTCTCAAGCAGCATGCAGTCCCTGTCCTCTGGCAGCAGCCCTGGATCCCTCACGTCCAGCCGGGGCTCCCTGGCCACCTCCAGCCTGGACTCCTCCACCTCAGCCAGCTTCACTGACCTCTACTATGACCCCTTCGAGCAGCTGGACGCGGAGCTGCAGAGCAAGGTGGAGTTTTTGCTCCTGGAGGGGGCCACGGGCTTCCGGCCCTCAGGCTGCATCACCACCATCCATGAGGACGAGGTGGCCAAGACCCAGAAGGCGGAGGGAGGCAACCGCCTGCAGGCCCTGCGCTCCCTGTCTGGCACCCCGAAGTCCATGACCTCCCTGTCCCCCCGCTCCTCCCTCTCCTCTCCATCCCCGCCCTGCTCCCCTCTCATGGCTGACCCCCTCCTGGCTGGAGATGCTTTCCTGAGCCCTCTGGAGTTTGAAGACCCGGAGCTGAGTGCCACTCTCTGTGAACTGAGCCTCAGCGGCAGCACCCAAGAGAAGTACCAGCTGGATGAACCAGGAACGGAAGGCAGACAGTTGGGCCAAGGTAGCGAGCATCACATCCGGAAGAGGGGACCACGAGGAGGGAGGAGGGTAGGAAGTGCACTTGGGCCTGAGCACAGACCCCAGTGGTAATTATGGTCATTTACTGACTGCTTTCTATGTGCCCAAGTGAGTGGGTGCTTGAATAGTGAGAAGGAGCCAGCTTGGGAAAAGTAAGAGCAAAACCTCTGAGGCTACCAGCAAACCAGAGAATCAGGCAGAGTCCAGGTCATTTAAGGCCTTGTGGGCCATGCATGGTAGGGAGTTTGGATTTTATCCTAATAGCAGCAGGGACCCATATGACCATTTGAAGCCAGGGAGATACGATCTGGCTCCCATTCTGCATGGGGTCAGAAAGAACATTTTGGTATGGATTAAGATTCGAGTAGGGATCTTCAAAACAGAAGATGCTGATAGTATAGCTAAGCTTTATCAGAAGAGAAATTCTTCATTTTTAGCAGCAACCACATATTAAATTGTAATAGTTAATATTTATTGGGGTATATTATGTGATGGGCAATGTGCCTTATACAGTGAAATAGGTTACTTCTATTATGCCCATTTCACAGATGAGGAAACAGGTTCAGAAAGGTAGTATTACTTGCTCTAGGTCCCCCAGCCAGCAGGTGGGAAAAGAAGGGATTGGAACCTGGGTTTTCCTGACCCAGCACCCCACCTCTTTATCATCGCACTCCTCTCCGGATGTGAGGCAGCTCTGTGTGTTTGCTCCTGAGACACTCCGGTGCTCACTGGCCCCACCATGCCCATCTGGTGTGAAGGTCAAAACTGAGCAGGGTGCCCAGATAGCTCACCTGGGGCTCCCAGGCTTTCCTGGCCACGATTTATTGAATGCAGGTATACAAAGTACGGTCACTGTTCTGTATTTACTCATTTAAGCCTCATAACAACTCTGTGAGATGGGTGCTATTTTTATCCTCATTTACAGACAAAAGAAGTGAGGCCCAGGAAGGTCAGTGTCACAGCTAGGAAGTGGCAGAATCAGGACTGGCACCAAGACCACCTGCCCAGATCCCACACTAAGACGTGTGCCGGCTTTGAATGCACAGGGCTCCTGTTTCTGGCTCCTTTTGAGGCCAGGTGGGAGAAGTGGACCCATCTCAGCCTTAAGGCTCCAGGAATGGGTGGAATAGTTGCTGCTATGCCCAGAATTATCCGTTCGTGTGCAAGGGCCAGTGGGAGCAAGGTGGGGGCAAGACGAGATTTCCTGGTTAATTAAAGGCTCTGCTGGGTGAGTGCCAGCCATTTCCTTAGAAGAGGAGCCGAGAGATCCCTGGGGCTCCCTCATCAGGAAGGGAGTCTTGCTGAGTGCTCTCAAACAAAAATAAAAACAGGCTTCCTACTACAGCAGGTGGCCAACTTCAGAAAATTGTCCCCTGGAGAGGAGCGAGTACAGGTGGAACGTCTAACCAGGCTCCAGAAGAGCCCCTGACAGTCTGTCAGAGGATGGCAATGAGCCAAGTCAGGGACCCAGCAAGGTGCCGGGAGTGACCCCCTCCTCCCCGAGTATCCTTGGGGCTTGTGGGCCAAGGACTGCACATGTCTCAGGATGGCATCTTCCTTCACGCCATCTCCAAAAGCCGTCCCTGTGGTGAGCGATGCCAGGCTGAGCTTTGACACTAAGCAGGTTATGCGATTAGTGCCGCTGTTCAGTCAGCAGACAAATTAATCTCCTTAAGTGGTTTAGTGGAGGGTGGAGATGCGTGGGTCTGAAGGCGGGGGGGAGGGTGGGGGGGTTTTCCACTAGCTGCAGCAGGCATGGGACGCGGGCTGGGACAGCCGCACCCAGATGGCCTCTCGGCTTCCCCCAGGCTCGCTGTCCCCGTCCCTTCCCTCAGCCTGGCCTGCCCCCCGCCCTGTCTCTTCTCCAGGCTGCCCCGGTGCCTGGCACCCAGCGGGCTCTCAGAAGTGCTGGCTGTGGGGTTGCAGGGCCTGAACCTCGTCTTCCCCACCGCACGGAGCTCAGGAACTGTCCTGTCCATCTTGCTAGCTCGGAGCCTGGCAGCGGGCCTGGCTCACCATTGGCACTTGCGACTTAGGGGAGGAAGGAATGTGCAGCATGGGCCAAGTGCCTGGTTGGAGCCCTGGGTCAGAGGCTTTTGAGGGCCTCTGTCAAGGGCAGGGGAGCTGAGGAGCAGAGTTAGGAATGGAATAGAATAGGCCCGAGTGGGGAGAGCCAGTGGTGAAATCCTGTCTTTTCTTCCTCTTGCCCCTCCCAAGGGTCCAGGGGCTGTTATTTTGCCCCAGGTGTGTAGGGATCGATCTAGAAGGCATCACCACAGTGATAGGAATGACCATTGCAGTAAGGACAGTGGTACTGAATTTCATCAAGTGTTTTCCTGCATCAGCCTCTGTACTAAGGACTTCACTAGAATGTCTCGTTGGGTCCTCCCGGCAGCCACATAGGGTAGGTGTTACTTTCCCCATTTTACAGAGAAGGAATCCAAGGGCCAGAGAGCTGAAATCCATGTCCCAGTGTCATGAAGCAGTAAGTGGTGGAGCTGAGAGGTGAACCCAGGCGCTTTGGTTTCCAAGTCTGGGATGTTAAACACAGAATCCTACACCCCAAAGGAAGGCAGGACCTTGCTGTCAAGTTCAGAGGTGGTATTTGGTGGGACCGCCCTAGGACAGAGAGTAGATCAAAAGTGTGTGTTGCAAAGACAGTGTCCTGGTTTTGGAACCCTGCCTTCCCATCCTTCCTTTTTCCCCCTTCTTCCTCCAGCTATGAATACAGCCCAGGGGTGCAGCCTGAAAGTGGCCTGTGTCTCAGCTGCTGTGTCGGATGAATCCGTGGCCGGGGACAGTGGTGTGTATGAGGCTTCCGTGCAGAGGTGGGTCCCTGAGTCTTGGCTCTGTCTGGGAAGTCTGAGAATGCAGAGCCCGGGCCCCCTCGGGTGTGTGGGAGGGGCCCACAGGAGGCCATGGCCAGGTGACCCCACCTTCCCCCTGGGAGCCCTGTTTAGGGTGTGTTGAAGATGCACGCAGCACTGCTCCTCCTGCGGCTGGGGGCACTTCACATTCGCGGGAGTGCTGGTCCCGTGATTGCCACGAAGGAGCATATGGCTAGGGGGGCAAGTACTGGAGAAAGGGCAGCCCCTTCCAGAGAGGAATCCCGAGCAGTTGTGGGAAGGCAGGGTCTGCAGGGAGTCTGAGCAGACCCAAACTTTCGTCCTTCAGGACGCAGCTGTACCCTTCCAGAGAGAACCCCTTTTCTGGAAAATGGCTTTGGCCCCAGGTTACTGCAGGGAAGCCTGACCCTCTTCTTCCCCGTGTTGCCTTCCAGACTGGGTGCTTCAGAAGCCGCTGCTTTTGACAGTGACGAATCGGAAGCAGTGGGTACAACCCGGGTTCAGATTGCCCTGAAGTAAGTGACTGGGAGGGTGAGCGCAGAGCGGGTGGTTGGCAGCAGCCTCCCAGACTTGACCTTCATGGCTCCCCCGGGGGAGGAAGGCAGAACCAGCAGGACCTGCCGGGAGTTGTGGGTTCCCAACTGAAGGGGGCCAGCCCTCTCCCTCCCTCTCAGCTCCACATTTAACAAAAGAGAAAAATGAGGTCTTGAAGACCTTGTAACTTGCCCCAACTCTCAGAGCTAGCCAATGGCAGAGGCAACCCTGACTGAGACCTCCTGCGTCTTGGTCTGTTTAGTCATTGTTGCTGCGGCTGTTTGTCTTACCTTTCCATTGAGGTTTCCACCGTCTGGGGGTTACAGCCCAGATGTGTTCTTCTTGTTGTTTTCTCTTGGTGCAGGACGGCCTTGATACTGTTTTCAGTAGAAATTAATTGCCAACATTTAAATATCGAGAAATTTCACGTAACGCAATCTTCAGGCCTCTCTTTAAAAAATTGAGACTGACAGCCCTGCCCCTGCACCCCTGCATGGCAGCAAAGCCCTGGCCCTGCGCTCTCGAGCTCAGCACAGTCTCCCGAGCAGCCAGCAGCCACATCGGTGATCACTGAGAGAGAGAAAAATGTGTCACTCCTAGGTGCTCCATATGCCCCTTTCCATTTCAGGTACGATGAGAAGAATAAGCAGTTTGCAATATTAATCATCCAGCTCAGTAACCCTTCTGCTCTGTTGCTACAACAAGACCAGAAAGTGTGAGTATATAGCAGACAGGGTGTCTGTCACCCTGTCAGCCTCTGTGGCCATCCCCGGGGGCGCTCTCTGTGCTGCTCTGACAGTGGGCCCTGTGTGTATTTAACACGTGTGACCGTCATGCCACGTGTCAGTACTGTGAATGTGGATACAGGCTTGATGGCAAACTCACTAACTATAAAGAGAAGCACTCTAGACAGCTTCAGTTCCTTCACGAGTACATCGTGAGCACCTACCATGTGCCAGCACTAAGAATGGGGCGGTGAGCAAGTCCTTGCCCTCGTGAACTTGAAGCCTCATGAACAAGGTGGACACCTGCGCTGTTAGCCTGTTGGCTCTTCCCGTTGCAGATCGGCTCTATGTTTCATTGCATTTCATCTGCCCATGTGTTTCTCCTATTTCTGTGGTCTGTACCCAGCCAGCATCTGGGGCTGCGACGTGTGAGAATGGGAAAGGCAGGAGGAAAGCAGGCCAAACAGAAGGAAGACAAGATGGGACTGTAGAGTCGTTTTCAGTCTTTTGCTCGCACAGACCGTGCCAGAATGAATAACCTTCTCCATATCTCATTGGTCCTTGTATGGGGGTATCTGTGGGAGAGTATCGAAAAGCCAGCTGAATGGGTCCCGGGGTCAGTGCCTCTCCAATTGTGTCACGGCTGCCACATTCCCCTCTGCAGGGGCTGTAGCAGCTTGCCTTCCTCTCAGCAGTCGTGTCAGGCTTCCTGAGTGTTAACAAGCAGGCTTGCTGATTCTTCTGTGCACAGAAGTTTGCACACTGTTGGCCTCAGGCTCCACTGCTTTGAGGTTCTGAGGATTGGGGGATTCAGAAGGAGGAAGAGCAATGTGTTGTCCTGGGGGCCCTTTCGGCTTCCCTTACCAATACCTGCATAACCCCTTGAGAACTTACAAACTCCTCCACTGTTATTTTCTTAGGGATTTGCAGCAACTGTTTAACCGAACACATCAGCCCAGACCCAGGCTGAGCTGGGCTCTCCTCTGTCTCCCTCTAGGAACATTCGTGTAGCTATCCTTCCCTGCTCCGAAAGCACCACCTGCCTGTTCCGGACCCGGCCCCTGGACGCCTCAGACACCCTCGTGTTCAATGAAATGTTCTGGGTGTCCATGTCCTATCCAGCCCTTCACCAGAAGACCTTAAGAGTCGATGTCTGTACCACCGACAGGAGCCATCTGGAGGAGTGCCTGGTGAGGGCTATGCCCGTCGGTCTGTCTGTCCCACCTTCTGTCCTTCTGGGGATTGGCCCAGCTCGCAGTTTAGGGAGGAGGCTTGAGAAAACTCAGGTTGTAGGGCCAGCGAAGCTCATCCGGGTTCCAGGCAGGGAACTGTTGCCCCGGTGAGCCGCATTCTCACACTTACTGGGAGCAAGGGGGCAAGGAAGCGGGAAGCTCCTTTCTGAGCCGACTAACTGCAGGGCTGCATCCCTTGGGCCTGAGGCTGCGTTGCCTACGACTCTTTTAATGCTGTGTCTCAGTCTCCTTATCTGTAAAATCCAGCTAACACAGCCTACCTCACAGATGGCTCTCTGAGGATTAAATGAGGATTTAAGCAGTGTTTCTGGAACTTGAACGTGCAAACAAGTTACCTGGGGCTCTAGTTAAAATGCAGATTCTGATTCAGCAAGTCTGGTGGGGGGGTGGGGACACCAGGAGATTCTGCATTTCTAGTTAAGTTCCCAAGTGCTGCTGATTGCTGCTGGTCCCCATAGCAAGGATGTGACACAATGATGTGTCTGCACACGCTAGATGCTCTGTGGCTCTCACTTCCCACCGCCCCCCTCCTCAGCTGCGGTACAGAACAACATCATTGCCATTTATGTTGTTGATGATATTATTGGCAATAATGCGATAGCATCCATAGATTGAAAGCACTCGCTGTGGTGGGCACTGAGCTAAGCTCCCTACATGTCGTTTCTCTACCCTCACTACCCAGTGAGGAAACCGAAGAACAGAGAAGTAAAAGAACTTTCCCAGGGTCACACAGTCAAGAAGCAGCAGGAGCAGTTAGAACCTAAGGCAGGTCTACTTGCACCACCCACCCACGTCAGCACGTTGGTGTTCTCACCAGCATGGTGGTCCCCGGAGCCCACGGCTAGGACAGTGACTGAAGACTGGTGAGCAGGGGAGACTCTGGATGTTAGAGCAGAAAGCCTTTCCAAACCCAGCCTCTTCTGCTGAAGCATTTCCTCAGCCCTGGGAATTCCTCAATGACAAGAGAATCCTATTTTCTTCTCCTAATTGGATGTCTTTTATTCCTCCTTCCTAATTGAAGTCTGGCCATTGCTGGTCGCCATGGCAGCAGCCAAAGCGCTCATCGCACTGTGGCTCGTCTCCGTCTGTGGCCAATGGGAAATCTACTCTCCCGTACCCCGCGGGGATGTGGAGTGTCAGGCTGCCGTGTTTTGGTGGCTAGGGGAGCAGGCGAGGAAGTGGGACTCAAGGAGAAAGGCTGTGTGCTCCCACGCAGGCTCCCTACGCTGCTGGGTTTGGGGAATCTCTAGTCTGTTTGGAGCTGCTTCATCAGCCAGGCCGCAACAGTGGTCCTCCTCCTGAGCAGCGTCTGCATCGAGGACCGCGCTAAGAACTCTGCGTGCAGTTTGCACTTAACTAACCCTCCCAGCAGCCTGAGGAAGAAGCGTCAGGATTGCCTCCATCTGATAGATTAAGAGTCGAGGCCCCAAAAGGCTAAGTAACCTGCCCAGGCCATCCATCAAGTCGGTGGAGAAGCCTGTTTCCTGTGCAGCTTCCTTCCACACAGGCATCATACTGTCCTACTTCTCAGGGGGTTACAGTGTCGTCTCCCCCCTCGCCCCCAGACATGGATTATGGGTTTGGATGAATACAGGGCCTGCCTTCCCCAATATCTCAGGCCACAGTTCTACCAAATGCTTGAGCATGGCATAACAGGCTTTCCAGCTGGGCCCTGGTTGTCCACTCCCCAGCTGCTAAGCTCAGTGCCACTCAGCTCAGGTTCTGTTAAGAAAGCCAATTTCCCAGGCCCCGCTCCTATCCCATGGGTAATCATTACAACCAAGAGGCTCCCTTGCCCCTTTTCACCTTGCCCCCTGGGGAAAACCCCAGCCCTGTCAAAGTGAACTCTCCACCTGTGCACCTGTGGGGAAACACAGCCACGCTGTAGGGTCTTATTTTAAAATCGTAGTCATGGGGCGCCTGGCTGGCTCAGTCGGTTAAGCATCCGACTCATGGTTTCGGTTCAGGTCATGATCTCATGGGTCATGAGATCGAGAGCCCCGTGTCAGGCTCCGCACGTGCAGCAGGAGTCTGCCGGAGATTCTCTCCTTTGCTCCTCCTCCCACACACAAGCATGCACGTGCGCTCGCTCACTCACTCACTCTCTCAAATGAATAAATAAATCTTTTAAAAAATAAAATGAAATCGTGGTCATAAACCTCATTAGGGTCATGAACCCTAATGCTGCTCAGCACTGATACCGCCTCTCCCTAGGCCTATTGCCTTCCCCTTGTCCCAGGGGCGAATTCCTACCCTCTCCTCACACTTCCGCAGCTCCTCTCCCGCCCCGTTGAGCTCCCCCTGCTGAGCTCCTTGCTTCGCTCCTTGCCATTTCTCCTGGCTCTCACCTGGCCCCTCCCCACTCCCACCTGAAGCCGGCTTCTCTCACCGGTTACTCGGGCTTTCTCCTCTCTTCAGTCGTCCCTCCTCCACTGGATCTGGCCTGTCAGTATACCAACATGCTGTGAATGCCCCAATGCTTAAAAAGAAACCCAAAAAGCAAAAAAAGAGAGCCCTGGGAATTCCTCAGTGGAATTTCTCCCATTTCTCCCTCCACGTCCTACCTTGTTTCTTTTCCTTTATAGCAAAATGTGGAAAGGGTGTGCATGTTCTCTCTGTAAGGGGAAAGGGTGTGCAAGCCAGCTCACACGGGATTTTGTCCTCCCCGTCCCACTGGAAATGTGCTTGGCAAGGTCATCAGTGGCCACTTCTCCGTCCTCATCTCCCTTGGCTGGTCAGCTGTGTTTGGTTCAGTTGCTCTGCTCAGCGAGTCTTCCTCGGCATCCTTTGCCCTGACTTGGCCTCCAGGACACCTTGCTCTCAGCGTCCTTCCCTCATCACTGGCTTCTCTGTCTCCGCTGATTCTTCTCGGTTCCCTGACCGCTGTATGTCGGAGGGCGCCAGGGCTCAGGCCTCTCCCTTTTCCATTTGCATCCCCTGCCCTGGTGATTGAGATCCCGTCCTCCAGCGTCCAACACCATGCCAGATGTATGGCTCCAGCCTGGGCCTCTGCACTCGCAGCTGCATTACACCCCCCTGTCTGTTCCACATCTTCTCCTGCCTGTCCAGGAGGCATCTCAGATGAACTTGTCCACAACCACGCCCCTGATCTTTCTTCCTGTGTCTTCACTGTCTCAGCTGACAGCAACCCCGTCCTTCCACCACCCAGGCCAGAGACCACAGGGTCATCTTTGACCCTCTCCACCCCACATCCAGTCCTTTAGGAATTCCTGGCAGCTCCATCTTCAAAAGATCCCAGACCCCAGCCGTTTACCCCTGCCCCACTGCCATCTGTCACCTGGATCGTGTAGCACTCTACGGGGTCTCCCTGCATCTGTCCTTGCCTCCCTTCATCTCTTCTCTACATGGTCACCAGAGTGATCCTAGTAAATTGCAAATCAGTGCATGTGACTCCTCTACCTACAACCTTACAGTAGCTTCCGTCCCCGCCCAGAGTCAACTCCCGGGCCCCTTGCCTGCCACCCCCCCCCCCAGGGCCCTCAGGGATTTGCCCCTTATTATCTCCCAGATTTCATCCCAAGACTCTTCCTCCATCCTCCTTGTGCCCCTTGAATACATAAGCATGCTCCCCGCTGCAGGCCTTTGCACTTGCTGTCCCCTCTGACCGGAATTCTCTTCTCCCAGATACTGATAGGCAAGGCTCACTCCCCCTGCCCCATTCTGGGCTTGACCCAAAAGTCACCTTCTCAGTGAGGTCTTCCTTCCTTCCCCCTCCCCTCTCTTATCCACCCTTACTCCCTTTTCTCTGTATTATTTTTCTCTGTGCCACATTCCCCCACCTAGCATTTGTCTATATCACAGATTTTAGGGGATACGTGATTTTCACATTTTATCAAATCTCTAAAATCATGATGCAGTTTATACTAGATGACAGGTCATAGTTTAAATGGTAACTATTTTTCTTTCTTAGAGTGCAGGAAATAGTATATTGCATGATTGATGGCATCTTAGATTCCATGAAACACAATATAGTATTTACTTACTGATTTGTTTATCTGATTCCCCCAGACTGGAATGTAAGCTCATGAGGGCAGAGATTTTTATCTGCCTTAAATTCTCCTGTATCCCCAGGACCCAAAACAGTGTCTGGCACATAGAGGCCACTTAGCATGTGTGTGTGTATTGAATAAATAAATGAATGCCCTCAAAGTGAATCGTTTACCAAAGTGGACCATATTCTCACCTATAAGCCAGCCCAAAATAGACAGCGTTGTCCTGTTGGAATTCATAGTAATCTGATGGCAATGTTACACCTCAAAGCTGTCGTTATATTCATTCCCCCTTGCCCCTCAAACATGGCCTGGCAAGTTCTGAGCTGTAATATCTGATGCATTTGCCTGTCTTTGAGTCCCTTGGGGGCAGAATCTTGTCTTACATGTTTCTATGTAAGTCTGCTGCAAAGTGCTCGGAGGATATTTATTAAATGAATAAATGAGTAATATACACAAATTTGTGTATAGTTAAATGTATTACAGGTGCCTAAAATACACCAGGCATTCAATACCTGAATTGACCCTAGTCGTGCAGGTGGGAGTTATTTACCTTGTTTTCCTCACTGGACTACTCACCACTGTTGTAGAAATTAACCTTTAGCCACACGATGGGCTTGCACAGTCCATACCATACCCTGGTCCATCCTAACAGAAGGAAAAACTGGGGAAAGGGATCCCAGGTAGGTTGGAGAGGCTCCTCCTCATCCCAGGGCCATCACTTGGTTACTGGCCCACTTCACAAACTGGCTTGTGGCATTTCTACTACCCGTTGGCACATCCACTGTCATGTTTGGGGATGGTGAGTCAGCCAAACCCCAAACCTGCTCAGGGCTCTTCAAAAGAAGGCATGTTGAAACAATAAGGCCTCTGAGGAATGGTGAGAATTATTTTATCATTCTTGCCGTGAAGGATGTATGTCACCGGAAATAAATCGTCTCCCTGGGAGGTTATATTCAGTTAGGTTAATTTGGTGTTGTTTGCCTTCATCTTAAGGCATCCATTTACACAGGGTGCCTGGGTGGCTCAGTTGTTAAGGCATCCATTTACACAATTCAAAGGAAAACTGTATAGAAAGATTAACTAAAGAGAAATCTTGTTCCCCCTGCCCCTTGCATCCAATCCGCCCACCTATCCTAGATAGCTAACCGCTTTGGTTAGTGTTTTATCTTTCCATCCTTTCTTGTTGCACATATGTTCCTGTGATAATGTTCAGGCTCCCTTGCACCTCAAATATGGTGCAAAATATATGTATATATAGAGAGATAATGTATTATTCTCATCCCTCCTTCCATTTCTTTTTTTTTTTTTTTTGAGAGAGAGAGAGAGAGCGCAAGAGAGGGGAGAGTCGGAGAAGCAGACCCGATGTGGGACTCAGTCCTGGGACTCCAGGATCATGACCTGAGCTGAAGGCAGTCACTTAACAAACTGAGGCACCCCCTCTTTCCATTTCTTATACAAAAAGTAGCATACTGCATATTCCATTCTGCACTGTTCTGGGTTTTTTTTTTTCCCCTTACCAATACAGCCTGGAAATCTCTCCACATCAGCACCTAGAGATCTTCCTCATTTTTTGTACATAGCTATATAATATCCCATTGCATAGATATATTATAGTTTATTCCTCCAGTCTCCTGTTGCTGGAGCTTTGAGTTGTTCAAAATCTTCTACACTGGTCTTGATGATGATTTTTTGGATCTCACTCCAAAAGCACAGGCAACAAAAACAAAAACAAAAACAAGTGGGACTACGTCAAACTGAAAAGCTTCTGCACAGCACAGGAAATCATCGACAAAATGAAAAGGCAACTACCAAATAGGAGAAAATATCTGCAAGTCATGTATCTGATAAAGGGTTAATATCAAAAGTGTATAAAGCACTCATACAACTCCATAGTAAAAAAAGCAAACAATCCAACTTAAAAATATGCAGAGGTTCTAAATCATCATTTTTCCAAAGAAGACATACAGAAGGGCAACAGGCACATAAAAAGATGATCACCATCACTAATCATCAGGGAAATGCAAATCAATATCACAGTGAGATAGCACCTCACACTTCTTAGAATGGCTATTATCAAAGAGACAAGAGAGAGCAGATGTTTGCAAGGATGTGGAAAAAAGAAAAGCCTTGTGCACTGTTGGTTGGGATATAAATCATTATGCAGGGCCGCTGTGGAAAACCATAGGGCGGTTCCTCAAAAAATTAAAAATGGAATTACAATGCGATCTAGCAATCTCACACCGGTATATAAACAAGGTTTTGAAGAGATTCTTGCACGTTGTGTTCATAGCAACATTATTCACGATAGTCAAGAGACAGAAGCAACTCGAATGTGTATCCGTAGATAAATGGATTAAAAAATGTGGTCTCTGGGGCGCCTGGGTGACTCAGTCAGTTAAGAGTCCCTACTCTTGATTTTGGCTCAGGTCACAATCTCAGGGTCATGAGATTGAGCCCCATGTCGGGCTCTGTGCTGGGCTGGAGCCTGGTTAAGATTCTCTCCCTCTCCTTCTGCCCCCACCTCCCCAGCCTGGCTTGCACGCACATGCTCTCTCTCAAAAAAAAAAAAAAAAAAGTGATCTCTGTATATAATGGAATATTATTCAGCCTTAAAAAGGAAAGAAATCCTGACACATGCTACAACACGAATGAACCTTGAGAACATTATGTTAAATGAAACAAGCCAGTCACAAAAAGACAAATACATTTATATGAGGTATCTCAAGTAGTCACATTCATAGATACAGAAAGTAAAATGGTGGTTACTAGGGACCAGGGGAAGGGAAAAGGGAAATTGCTTAATGCGTATGGAATTTCAGATTTGCAGGATGAAAAAGTACTAGAGATCTGTTTCATGATGTAAATATAAACACTATTGAACTGTACACTTAAAAGTAAGTAAGAGGGCAAATTTTATGTGACAACATGGATGGACCTTGAGAACATACTAAGTGCAATAAGCCAGAGAGAGAGAAACAAATACTGTGTGATCTCACATGTGAAATCTAAAAAACCAAATTCATAGAAACAAACAACAGATTGGTCGTTGCCAGAGGCGGGGAAGTAGGGGAAATGGGTGAAGGTGATCAAAAGGTACAACTTCTAGTTATAAAATAAATAAGTTCTAGCCATGTAATGTACAGCGTGGGGACTATAGTTAACAACACTGTATTGCATATTTGGAAGTTCTTAGGACAGATCTTAAAGCTCTCATGTGAGGTGATGGATGTTAACTGAACTTGCTGTGGTAATCATTTCACAATACATATTATACCAAATCTTTAATTTTTTTTAAAGATTATATTTATTTACTTGACAGAGAGATACACAGCGAGAGAGGGAACACAAGCTGGAGGAGTGGGAGAGGGAGAAGCAGGCTTCCTGCTGAGCAGGGAGCCCGATGTGGGGCTCGATCCCAGGACCCTGGGATCATGACCTGAGCCGAAGGCAGACGCTTAACGCCTGAGCCATCCAGGCGCCCCCCAAATCTTTATTTTTTTAAGTAAATTCTACACCCAACCTGAGGCTCAAACTCACGACCCTGAGATAAAGAGTCCCATGCTCTACCAACTGAGCCAGCCAGGCGACCCCCAAATCTTTATGTTGTACAACTTAAACTAGTACAATGTTACATGTCAATTATATTTCAGTAAAACTGGGGCACAGGAGATGGTAAATTTTATGTTTTTTATCATAATTTTTAAAAAAAGAAAAATACGTACAATAGGTGTTCAATAAAGATTTGATGAATGAGTAAACCAATGAATAAGTTAGTGAATGAGTGAGTTATGGAAAATGATTCATAACTAGTCCTTTCCTCTTCCCAGAAGCTCCCATCCCCTCTGGGGGTGTTTTTCCTACTTTCCCCAGGAGCGGAATTCCCCAGAATACCTTGTCAAGCCCTGGCTTATACTCTTGCCTTTTCCCATCCTCAACAGGGAGGTGCCCAGATCAGCCTGGCTGAGGTCTGTCGGTCTGGGGAGAGGTCGACTCGCTGGTACAACCTCCTGAGCTACAAATACTTGAAGAAACAGAGCAGGGAGCCCAAACCAGTGGGAGCTAAGGTCCCCACCCCAGGGCCTGAAGGCACGGTAAGCTGGGCCCTGGGTTGGCCCCACCCTCCTATGTATGCAGCACCTGGATGGTTGGAAGGAAAAGCCTCTCCCAGAATTGGAGAGGGCTGGGCATCAGAAGTGGGGGAAGCAGCAGAGGGTTTTGGAACAGAGAGGGAGAGGAAGACAGGATAGGAGGAACCTCTGCTAAGGGGCAGGTAGCCCCCCATCTGCACATCTTCCACATCTGTGCTCTCCCCTTCTGCACTTTGCTTGACATAATAGAACTTGGCCAACAAAAACCTTAATTTATGTGTTTTTTTTAGTGACGTGGAGAAGGAAGGAGAAATCCGTGCAAGATAGAAAATTAACCTTTATTGAGGTGCTGCTATCTGCGTAGTGGTCCCTAGTGGAGGCTTGCTCTAAGAGGCAACAGAAAGTCACAGGAGGGACAGTCAGAAGACTGGGTGTTTGTTAGTTGGGTGACAGGTCAATCATTTCACTTCTCTGAGCCTCTGTTTTTTTTCATGTCTAATCTGAGTCTGAAAAAGGTTATTAGGAGGGTTTGAAGAAGTACATGTAAAGAGCAGTCAGTACTTGGTTACTTTGGATAGTCATTGCCCAGAATTTCAGGGGAAGGGATGGGCTAGGTCATACAGGTAAGGATAAGTGTAAGGATTAAATCTGTTTCCTCCTCGTCACCTCCACCTCCTTTTTCATCCTTCTCCTCATTTTCTGCACTTCCTTTTGTGTTGGGCACTGTCCTGTTTATAATGTGCCATTTACCAAGGCTCAGAAAGGTTACCTAAGGACATACATACATCCAGTAAGCAACAAAGCTAGGTCTCCCTCACTCCAAAAAGAGTCTGTGAGCTGGTAAAGGTCTTGAAAACATCCTCTGATTTCTAGAGCGTGTCCTTGGGTGAGTGACGTCAACCCTAGACACATTCGTTTCCTTGTTCCCATTTCTAAAGGGAATAATCATAAGCTCTACCTATCAGAATAGTCGTGAAGATTAAATAAGATGCTATACATAAGCTATCTATCAGTGCAGGATGTATACCAGGCCTTCAGTGGATTTTTCTTCCCTCTTCCCCAAAAAATTTCAGGGAGGTTTCAGGCTCTGGTCCACACTACCAAGGGTGTTTGCAAATTAACCATATGCTCAGAAAACTACAAGATCAGTTTTTGCTTTACTGTTAGTTGCCATTTACTGAGTGCTAATTATGTGCTCAGTGCTCTTCTATATACCATATGGACATATTCTCAGTTAATCTTCATAACCACCCTTTGCAGTAGTTATTAGAAATTACTGTAGAGGAAACTGAGTCTCAGAGAGGTTTCCTCAAGTCACATAGGCTTCCCCACTGTAGACACCATTCGGTATAGATATTCTTCCTCCAGGAAGTCTTCCCTGAATGCAACCTCCAAGCTGACTTTGCCATTGCTCCTTTGTTCCGAAACGTCACATTGTTTTGTTATTGACAGTTCATGTGATGGTCTCCCCGACTATACTATAATCTCTTTACAGCCAGAGACCTATAATTCTGCCTCCCTAACTACTAAACTAGACTGTCTTCCAAAAGTCTGTCCATGCATACAGGGGCTATTCTCAGGAGAACTGCCAGTTAGATGAACTGAGTGCTGTATTTCCAGTTTATAAGTGACCGTGGGGCAAGGTGCTTACCCACTATGGTCTTCAGTTTCACTCCCAGTCCAGGGGGAGGGTCACACTCTGAGCTCTGATTCTTGCCGGGTGAGGTGGCCCCAGTGGCATGCAGATGAAGCCATGGGCTTTGTCTCCACAGGATGCCGTGTCTGCTCTGTTGGAACAGACGGCAGTGGAGCTGGAGAAGAGGCAGGAGGGAAGGAGCGACACACAGACCCTGCAAGACAGCTGGTAAGTGAGCACTCCCCTCCGGAGCCTCCGGAACTGATCTGGCGTGGACCTGGACACAGCAATGAGATGCCCAAACTCCAGGGCAACCAAGAGGAGTGTTCCCCTGGGAAAACTGAGAACCTCTCTCCTCACGGGTTCTCTACAAGGCAACAAGGCAGTGCAATTGACCCTTGAACAACGCAGGGGCTGGGGCACCAAGCCGCGGCACAGTCAAAAATCGACATAGAACTTTTGACTCCCCCAAAACTTCACTACTAACAGTCTGCTGTTGACCAGAAGTCTTACCAATAACATGAACAGTGCATTAACACATACTTTGTATGTTATATCTATGATAAACTATATTCTTATAAGAGAGTAAGCTAGAAAAAAAAGGTTTTTTAAAATTTTTTTTTAAAGATTTTATTTATTTGAGAGAGAGAGAGAGCACAAGCAGGGGGAGCATCAGGCAGAGGGAGAAGCAGACTCCCCGCCGAGCAGGGAGCCTGATGTGGGACTCGATCCCAGGACCCTGGGATCATGACCTGAGCCGAAGGCAGACGCTTAACTAACTGAGCCACCCAGGTGCCCCTAGGAAAAAAATGTTAAGAAAATCATAAGGAAGAGAAAATATGTATCCAGCACTGTAGTATATTTATCAAAAAAAATCCATCTATAAGTGGACCTGTGCAGTTCAAACCCGTGTCGTCCAAGATCAACTGTATATAGCCTGATAAGATGGTTCCCAGAATTTTGTCCCAATTGGTCATTTTGTGATCTATAAATCACTCATGCTACTTCACATATTAGTGTCTGTGTTTACTCACTTACATTTATTTTGGTGTAAAAAAAAAAGTTATATTACTATATATTGAAAGTAAGTATAATCTGCCATAAATTGAAGATGTTTCAATAAGGAATTGCATTTGACTGCTAGGAACAGAGAGTAGAAATAATAAGCTTAAATTAAGATAGTTTATTTCTTTGTTACTTACAAAGAAGAATGGGAAGAAGCAGTCGCAGTTTCATCTGTCAGCTCCATGGTGTTGCTGGGAACCCAGGCTCCTCCTCTCCTTCCTCTTTGTTCTTCTTACTGGGTGACTGCCATCACCAAGGCTGCTTTATAGCTCAAAATGGCTGCTGACTCACCAGCCATCAAGCAGGCATCAGAAAAGTAGAAAGACAAAAGATGTGCCTGTATGCCTTTTAACCAAGGAGCATTCCTCGGAGTCCCACCCAGCAATTTCTGCTTGATTCTCATTGGCCGAGCTAAGCCATTTGGCCTACCTAACTGCAAGGGAGGCTGGGAAATGAGGTCTGTGAAGTTGGGAAGAAAGTGGAAGTGGATCCTGGGTAGGCCATGAGCCAAGTCTGCCTCAGAAGGTAACTGGAAAATTAAATGTAATGAAAATCAAGCAAGAGTATAAAACCCGCCTGGACCTACTGCTCACTAAGGCTCTGGGCCTGAGGTCTTCTCTCACTGTTAAACAGGAAGATTAGTCAGTGTTCCAGCAATATTAAAGACATGCGCTGCCAGAGACTTCTCGGTGTCCAAAGGAGAACCGGAGACAGCTTTCTCTCGGTGTGTTTCGAGGCTGCTCAGTCTCTTGTATCCCAAAAGAGAGGTCTCCTCACACATTTAGGAAACAATGGTATAGACCAGAGTTCAAACCTTAGCTTCGTCCTGTTTTGGTCACCTTTGGCAAAGCATCTTTAGCTTTTTCTTGCAGTATGACACGTTTACATAAAGTTCCCCTGAGCGTATGGTTCAGTGAATTTTCAGAAACCTAAGTACCCATGTAACCAGCATCCAAATCCAGAAGCAGAGCATAACCGGCTCTCCAGAGCCCATGGCGGGCTTCCTCTCAGCCACTACCCTCCACCGCAAGGGCAGCTGCTGTCAGGCGAGTCATCTAACTTCGTCGGAGCCTCATCTGGAAAAGCGGGGTATCCACCGGCTGCGTGGGCTTAACTGCAGGCGGTTGAAGGGAAAGCCACCATCATGAAGATAAAGTGCAAAGCTCATGGTGGACGCTCAGTAGATGGTAGAAATTATCACTCGGAAAATGAGAAGGAAGTCTGTTAACTACCAGCTGGGTAGGGAGAGGGCAAATCCCATCTCAGAAATGACCAGAACCTGTGACTTTGCCCTCCGGGAGGAAGTATGGTCGGGCTTTAGTGCACGTGCTCTGAATGCAGATAGCTAGGGATTCGGAGTCTTGCTCGGTCAGCTTCCTGTGGGATCCTCGGTCTGGGTGAGGCCCGAGCACCAGTGAGTTTTAAAAAAGCTCCCTGGGTGACCCTAATGTGCAGTGAGGGCTGACAGCCATGGCTCTAAACCTCCATTTCCGCCTCCATGAAATACAGATTTAAAGAGTGGCCACAATGCATGGGATATTCTGTAGACTCAATAGAATTATGCATGATAAGCACTTAGCACAGACTTTGTCCCACAGGAAACACTCAGTAGCTCTTCTGTATTATTCTGTTACAGCCCCTGGTTATACATTTGGTCTCAGAAAGGGCCTTTCCATTATATCTTTTACTCCAGGGGTCAGAAAATGTTTTCTGGAAAGGATCAGATAGTAACTATCTGCTTCGTGGGCCATGGGGGTTCTAGTGCATCTATTCATCTCTGTGGTTGTGCTGTAAAAGGAGCCCTTGATGGTACGTGCACTAACCATCATGTCTCTGCCATTGAAGTTTCACTTATGGATGCTGAAATTTGAATTTCATATAATTTGCACATGTCATGAAATATCATTTTCTTTTGGATATTTTTTTTTCCAGCCATTTAAAAATATAAAAGCCACTCATAGTTTGGGCTGTCCAAAACTGGCAATGGGCTAGATCTGGCCCACAGCCTCACCCCTCTTTTACTCTTCTCCTTTACCATTTTATTTCTCCATGTGATAAAGGGTAGGGCAAGGTTCCTGAATTTTCGTATGTTCATTTGTTTGCTGTAGGGCTCTCTCTCAACTGTCTCAATTTCTCTCTTTCCTTCTTTCTCTCTCCTTGTGTCCCTTTCTTTCGCTGTCTCTCCTCTCCCTTTCCATCCCTTCCTACCTCCCCTTTCCTTCCCCCTCCCTCTCTTGTCTCTCCCTCTCTCGTCTCTCCCTCTCTCCCTCTCTCTCTCTCCCTCTCTGTGGCACACTGCTGGGCAGGGCTGGGCTGGGCTGGGCTGTGCAAAGGTCTGATGCCGGAAATAGGCCCAGGACCTGTCTTCCAAAACCCTGGCACAAGATCAGTGATTTCTGCCAAATTCCAAGCTTGTGGTGAGACTTTTCAAGCCATCCCCTAGCAACTGCCTTCTGTTCTCTCTCCCCCTTTGCGGCCCCCTCTCTCCCCACCCCTGCCATTCAAACTTCCCTAGACATGGACTCACAAAGAGGACCAGGAATCCCAGAGCTGCTGTACTGGAGTAAATCCATCTGCAGCCCCCCTCCCCCCAGACTGGAGGCTTCTTCTGGTCCTGGAATGTTAACTAGCTTTGCTGTGCCTGCTCTACTCCGGAGTCCTGTGCGGAGGTCCCCCAAACACTGGCCCTGTTCTAATTTCTGCTCCGTCTTCTCTCAGCACCCAAGGGCCAGGGTGCCATAGTTACTCCCTCCTTTTATTTGTTTAGGTTTCTTTAGTGCATTTAATCACAAGCCTGGATTTTTTTTTTTTAAGATCCACAAGCAAAACAAAATTCTAAGAGTATTAGAAAATATAAGAGACCATAATCACAGACAATGCTAATCACAGACAAACTCCTGTGTTTGCCTCCTTGGGAACTTGTGTGTGTGTGTATGTCCAGGGCAGAGGTTGAGAAATGGCATTGCTGGGTCCCAGGGCACGTGTGCTTTATATTTTAATAGGCATTGCAGAATAGTTCTCAAATAAGATTGTACTAGTAAATGCTCCCACCAGCAGTGATTAAGAGTACCCTTAAGCCTACACCCTCTCTGATGCTCAATATAATCTAACTACAGTACTTAATCAAGAATACGTACAGGGGCGCCTGGGTGGCTCAGTCGTTAGGCGTCTGCCTTCGGCTCAGGTCATGATCCCAGCGTCCTGGGATCGAGCCCCGCATCGGGCTCCCTGCCCAGCAGGAAGCCTGCTTCTCCCTCTCCCACTCCCCCTGCTTGTGTTCCCTCTCTCGCTGTGTCTCTCTCTGTCAAATAAATAAATAAAATCTTTAAAAAAAAGAATACGTACATATTTTATTTTAGCAGATACTGCTAAACTGACTTTAGAGTGCAAATTGGCTCCTCTGAGGTACACTCCCGGCAGGGATATGCCTATTTCCCATGCCTTCACCAGCACTTGATATGATCTCATATCTATATATTTTGCCACTCTAAAGGGTGAGAAGATGTCTACTTTAATCGTGTTTCTCTTGACAGTTGAGATTTTTTTTTTCCCCTTTCAGGAAATATTTAGATCAGATTCATGGTCAGAAAGAAAAAACTTCCATAGTGGTCAAGCACTTAGTGGGGTTGGACAGATTGGATGGGAAACCTGGCTGCACCCCTTAGTGGTCTGTGATACTGGACAGGGCCTAGAAACTCTGATCCCCAGCTTTTGAATCTGTAAAATGGAAACAGTAATTGCTTTCAGTGTTCCCTAAGGCCTTAGCACAGCACCTGGTGCTTATTAAGCCTTCAATAAATGCTGGTTAATGTGGCATCTGCCAAATTCTTAGGGAGGTGCTCGTCGTGCATTCCCATGTTTAATGGCCCTTTTATGAGTAGATCAAGAAGCTGTGGGGCAAAGGAGGGAGAGCAAGGGGTGTCCATTAGCTCTGGTCCCCATCTAAGGGCAGGGGAGGTTTTAGTCCTGTGGCTGGGGCTGGAGATCCAAGAAAATCCCAAGGGAGATTTTATGCTTGTCCACAGTCTCACTGAGCCAGCTAACAGGATGTCAGATTCTCTGCTTTTGGCTCGAATTCCTTCAGCTCAGTATGGCAACACTGTCTCCTGCTGATCAGAAGCCTGGTGATTATGTATGTCTTTGAGAAGATGGGACTAAAGATAAAATAGTAATTAACAAATGCAGTCCATTTGTCACAACAACTCCTCCCAACCCTGGAGTCCAAAGGGAAAGAATAATCATGAAAAGTATCACCAAAACTAAACTCTTTTCAACACATGGTGCCAGAACACCATTGGACAGCCATACAGAAAAAAAGGGGGCGCCTGGGTGGCTCAGTCAGTTAAGTGGCTGCCTTCGGCTCAGGTCATGATCCCAGAGTCCTGGGATCGAGCCCCACGTCGGGCTCCTTGCTCAGCAGGAAGCCTGCTTCTCCCTCTCCCTCTGTGTTCTAGTTCTCTCCCAAGTAAATAAATAAAATATCTGAAAAAAAAAAAAAGGAGTGGGGCGTTGTACTGGAGTAAATCCATCTGCAGCCCCCCTCAGGGTGGCTCAGTCAGTTAAGCATCTGCCTTTGGCTCAGATCTTAATCCCAGAGTCCTGGGATTGAGCCCCACATCAGACTCCCTGCTCAGCAGTGAGTCTGCTTCTCCCTCTGCCCCTCCCCCCTCTTGTTTATGTGCTTTCTCTCTCTCTCTCTCTGAAATAAATAAATAAAATCTTAAAAAAAAAGAAGCTTTATTCGTAATTGACAAGAAATGGAAGCCATTCAAATGTTCATCACCAGCTAGGTGAATAGTTACACAAATTGTGATGTATCCATTCCATTGAGAATGCCACTCAGCAATGAAAAGGGGTGAACTGTTGATACAGGCACGGACATAGTTGAATCTTAGAAACTTTAGATGGAGAAGATGAAGCCAGAGACAAAAGAGCACATACTGTCTGATTCCATGTATATGAAATGCTAGAAAACTCAGTCTGCGCTGACAGAAAGCTGATCGGGGGTGGGCCGGGGGTAGGGAAAAGTTAAATAGGGAAGGGTGCAAGAAACCTTCTGGGGTAATGGAATGTTCTGTATCACAAGTGTGGTAGTAGTTACACGGGGGGATACATTGGTTGGGAATACATCGGTCAAATGAAACTATACAATGGAAATGCTTTGTGTTGTATGTCAGTTAGACCTCACTAAGTTTTGTTTGTTTGTTTAAATATGTCCTCAACTGTGAAGAGGCTTGGAAGCTCTGCCCTAGGTGCATTTAGAGGCAAGTGAGCAGATCAGAGTGGTCTCTGGGCAGGTAACCGAAGCTCTTTGTCATCACAGGAGGTACGAGGAGACCAGCGAGAACGAAGCGCCGGCGGAGGAGGAAGAGGAGGAGGAGGAGGAGGAGGAGGGAGAGGAGGATGTTTTCACTGAGAAAGTCTCACCTGCTAGGGACGAGTGCCCAGCGTTAAAGGTAGGGAGGCCCAGAGAGACAGGAAGGGCTGTCTTGGAGAAATAGCCCTCGGTGCCTGGACTTCTCCAGCCTCAGGGGACAGGCCCTCGGAATGGGGTGACCTGCAGAAGGCTGCATAGGAGCGTCCCGGCCTGTAGTGCAGGTCATCTCAGTGACAGTAAACTGGCTCTCCCCTCCTCTCTCCTGCCCTCTGCAGCTGCCCTGGTTCTCTGGACTGACCTCAAGCTTTGTAGCCAGATGGGTCTGGGTTCAGATGCTGGCTCTGCTCCTCTCTGGCTGTGTAGTCTTAGGCGGGTGACTTCATCCCTTCCAGCCTTCATTTCCTCATCTCTAAAACGGATACAATAATACCAACCTGGCTGACAGGTTCTAAGGTTTCAAAGGAATGTATTTCTTTGTTTGGGTCTGCCCAAAGTACAATAGGAAAAAGGAGTCCAGTCAAGTTCCCCTCGCCACCTCTGCTGCGCTAGGGTTACACACGACAGCCAGATTCACCCTGCATAGAGATCTCTCTGTCTTTTCCACCGGCAGGAAAGAGAGCACCCCATTGTGTGCGAGCAGGGCACCTGGGGGTGGAGCTGCGGGTTGAGCACTGCACAAAGGTGCCTGGCCAAGAGGGGCTGGAGAAGAACCTAGGGCCGCCTTCCAACTGCTCCACACCCAGAGGAAAGTCTTTTTGCAGTCTCTCCAGCCAAAAGGGCTGCCTTTTTCAAAATTACACAAAGGCACTGTAGGCTAACAGGGCCCTGTATTCAGGTGTTCTTGTTTGTTTGTCATTTGCTGGTGACCGCTGTAAAAGGACAGTAGAAAACCTGCTCCCCAAGTTGAAAGACTGAGATTTGCGGATTGCCTCCATAATTCCAGGGAAGCATCTGCAGTTCTTGGCTGCAGCACTAGAGGCCTTGGGTGTGTCTTTGTCAAAATGTGGTTGGAACATAGATGTCTAGAGGGTATGAAGTCAAGGGCATCCATCCTTCTTCTGCTCAGTGAGCTTGTTTGGGGACTGAATATGCTCCAACCCACGTGGAGGAATAGGGGCCCAGTAGTTGGGGCCTTGGGTGCTGTCCTGGCTGGCAGGGCTACGGCCTGCGAAGCCCCCAGCTGTTATCTGTGGGGTCAAAGGCCAGATGACGGGAGTGGGGAGCAGCTGGGGAGTCTGCCCCACGAGTCTCGGCTGGGTGGCCGAGACACTATGGATACGAGTGGCCTCAGAGCTCTGACTTCTTCTTCAGGTGGACAAAGAGACCAACACAGAGACCCCGGCCCCATCTCCCACAGTGGTGCGGCCCAAGGACCGCCGGGTGGGCGCACCATCCCCAGGGCCCTTTCTTCGAGGGAGCACCATCATCCGCTCTAAGACCTTCTCCCCAGGACCCCAAAGCCAGTATGTGTGCCGGGTAAGCAAATGCGTGGTACTGCCCTCCTTCCCGAACACCTGCTTCCCGAGGAGTAGTGAGAGCCTTGGACCTCACAGGGTTCTGGGTGCAAATTCTGATGACTCTTTCTTTGTCAGCTATCCTCAGGGGAGTTAACGCCTCAGTGCATGTGGAGTTAATACACTGACTTCAAAGGACTGTTTTAGGGATTGAATTAGATAAAATATGGGAAAAGCTTGGTAACCCGTACAAGGCCAGTGTTTTGTTTTTTTTTTTTTGTCATTCCAGCCAGCTCTCCCCTCCTTCTTCTTCGCAGCCTGCCCTTCCCTTCTACATGACCACTTGCTAAGATCAGACTGACCCCTCGCTGTCCCTGAATGGGCATTTCTTCCCCACTTCCAGGGCGATCCTAGTGTGTAGCCTGAGGTTGCAAAAACGCAACGTGCCTGTACTATTTAGCTATTTAGCCACAGGTTGGTTGGTTGGTTTTCATTAAACCTGTTGCTAACCTTGAAAACTTAGGGAAGGCAAATAAAAATAAAAGAAAAATGAAGAGATTTCACATAAAATTCTAGTTTCTCTTGAAAACAAGAAACTGCCTGCCCCCATGGGCTGCACATTCTCTGACGGCGGCAGTTGGCTGGAGCTAAGCAGCTGCCCTTAGATGACTGGCTGATTGGAGAGGGCAGGCTGTCAAGTTCAGTCTGGCCACCTGGCCCTCTTTACCTGTTTTGGTTGCTAGCCTTCTCCTACAGGCTGCACTGGAGTTGAGAAGTCCTACGGTAGGCTTTTGCTCCCTCGCGCCTTTCCCTGTGTATCCGTCTCATTAGGCTACCCCTTCCCAGGCCAGCCTCCTTCTCTCATTCTACCGTAAATGGAACGTTTTAGCACTTACCACACCTGAGGGGGTCCCAGCCTTCCTCAGGGATGGCGCAGGTAGGACACATGCACACCTCACCTGAGTCCTGGGTCAACATTCTTCCTTACCCTCTGCCATAGAGAACCAGCGAACATTAACTAGAAGCACAGACAGAACCTTCCCTGTCTAGTGTTCCAATAAGTCATCATAGAAGGCGAAGCCCATGGAACCCGGCCTATATCATCAACCTGCCACTTACCCCTCTACTGTAATTTGGGACGGAGAGGGGATATTGAGGGGCACTTTCAATACGTGATATTCACGGGCGCCTGGGTGGCTCAGTTGGTTAAGCAACTGCCTTCGGCTCAGGTCATGATCCTGGAGTCCCAGGATCGAGTCCCGCATCGGGCTCCCCGCTGAGCGGGGAGTCTGCTTCTCCCTCTGACCCTCCCCACTCTCATGCTCTCTCTCTCCCATTCTCTCTCTCAGATAAATAAATAAAATCTTTAAAATAAAAATTTTAAAAAATCTGATATTCAGTATCCGTGGCCAAAATTATAAGATTGAGTAGAGAAGCTAATTTTTTCATAATATGGCAGTGTCACCAACTTACTAGCTACTTACTAGTTATTCCCCACAAAAACATTCCCCTAGTCCCTCCCAGAAATAACATAAATCCCTCCCCTCAGTGTCACGCCTCTAGCTAATCGTTTGAGCTTGTAAGCGTCTGCACGTTGGCTGCATATCTTGGGAAAGGTACAGAGTTTCCTGAAGACACTGAATGTAATGTTGATGTTAAGGAATTCCTGAATCACAGGTGAAGAATCCTACAGTTAAGCCAGCTCACAGCTGAGGAAGAGAAAAATCCAACTCATGTTGCAAATGTGAATAATTTGAAGGATTTAGAAAAGCCCTTAGGATAATGGATGAAACCCTCTGGCTTGGGCAGAATTACCAGTTTTATGACTGTGCAGTGGAATTCAAACACAAAGTAAAGAATATCACTCATCAGAAAAATCACACCAAAGAAATTAGTGTTTGATTCATTCTTTTTCATCAGAATTAGAATGCAGTTGTAATTTTGTCAAATGGAAGACAGAAGATAATAACTTTTATAACGTGTTTCCCCTTTCCAACTAAAGACTTGAAGTTTTTTTCCCCAATATTTACTGTAAGATTCTGGTCCCCTGTTGTTGTTTTTTTGTTGTTTTGTTTTGTTTTTTAAGATTTTATTTATTTATTTATTTGTCAGAGAGAGCACACAAGCAGGGGAAGCGGCAGGCAGAACATGCAGAGCGAGAAGCAGGCTCCCTGCTGAGCAAGGAGCCCAATGCGGGACTCGATCTCCGGGTCCCAGGGTCAGACACTTAACCGACTGAGCTACCCAGGCATCCCTGGTCCCCTGTTTAGATGGACTCACTTTTAGTGGCCCTTTCCCAGGATTGGCATCTTCAAATAACCAGGAGCTCCGATGCTATTTATTAAGCATCTGTAACACACCTAGCACCACGGGGAGCCCTTCCCATGTTTCATTATCTGGACCAATTTCCAACCCTGCAAGGCTGCAAATTAAGAAGTCCCCAGGCAGCGTGCATCCCATGCAACAGGCAGAAAGGGCCTCTCTTACAGCAAAGCCAAAGTGACATAAAGTGGAGAAGCAGTTACCATTCATTTTTATGGAAAATTTTTTTTTAGCATTCCCAGACCTAAACAATAACCTCTCTCAGGCTTTTCTGATACTTTGGGACACATCTCCCTAAAAGATGCACAGCATAAGTCAAGATAAAGCACAGAAGCTCCCAAACACGGTTCAAAGCTATGGGAGCTGGATGCTGAGATGCTCAGTGTAGTGCTGGGGGAGTGTGGTGGTGCCCCATCCTACTCGGGGTGCGGCTGCCTCCATAAGGGCTCACTGCAAAACAGACACTGAGCGTTGTTCTAGCTCTTGTCTTTTTCATAAAAGTGAAAATCCTCCTCATATTTCTTTTGGCTAGCAAAAACAGGTGCTAACGGGGGTCTTTTATGAAAGCAAAGTGATGTCACGTGAACTTTCAGAAAGCAGGGATGCCTGTATTTTTCCTTTTTTGCTTTCTGACTGTCCTACTTCAGCCCAAGGTTATCTCTTTCGTATAAAATCTTACTGAAGGCTGCAGGAAGAAGCCAGTGGTACAATGTCCTGAATTTTTTCCTATCATTTCCCCTAAAACTCTGTCGGCATATAGTCTGGTAACAACTTAACCCTCCGTTTTGAACCCACAAAATGAGAATGACCAAATTCCCAACAAGGAATATTGGGGTCTGGGCCCCAACCGACCCTCCGGGACACAGCCAGCTCCATGTTTCCCAGTCTGGGACTTACGGCACTCTACTTCTGGTATCCAGGCCTATGCCAGTCAGGTTCTTAATGGAAGCAACAGAAACAGACTGTGAGAGGGACGCCTGGGTGGCTCAGTTGGTTAGGTTGGTTCCTTTGGCTCAGGTCATGATCCCAGGGTCCTGGGATCGAGTCCCACATCGGGCTCCTTGCTCAGCAGGGAGCCTGCTTCTCCCTCTCTCTCCCTCTGCTTGTGCTCTCGCTGTCAAATAAATAAAATCCTAAAAATAAATAAAATTAAATTTAAAAATTAAAAAAAAAAAGAAAGAAAGAAACAGACTGTGAGCAATAGATGCAGGAAAGAATCTTTTGGAAAAGAAACCGAGTAGCTCACATGTTCCTTGGAAGTGTTGGAAGGCTGCAGAACCAGCCTCAGAAATCAGGTGGGAAGAGGGCAGGCCAGACCCCAAGCAAAATAGCCCACAGAGCCCGTCAGCTGAGGATCCTGGCAGTGCTGCTGCTAAGCCTGGCCCAGCTGGTCCCAGCTGTTGCCGCCGGGTTCGACATCAGTACCTCCGCCAGAGGTTCCTGCCCTGCAGGAGGCCAGAGCAGCTCTGCCTGTTGCCGCCACCCCTCCTTCCCTCCCTGAGATACAGATATGGCCTGCTCATGGAACAAAAGCAGGTGGGCTCATCAGCTCTGAGAGGCCCAGTAACAGAGCATTGGGTCCAGCTAACCAGGTCGTGATCCAAAGCCTGAGGCAGTTGCCCCCAATGGGCAGAGCCTCGTCCTGTGTCTGCTGGTAGCTGCAAGCGAGGCCGGGAAAGGTAGACTCCAGCACTGCCAGCTTCCTTGATGGAAGGTGGGCTGTGTCTCCCACCTTGAGTCCTAAGCTGGGGATTTCCCCGCCCATGGGATGGAGTTTGGGATGCTAAGCAGCAACTTTTCCCACAAAAAAGCACATGTTTTCTGTGTCATCTAATCTCAGAAGCAGCCCTGCAAGGCAAATGGTGTCTGCCCCGTTTCACAGATGCAGAAGTTGAGACTCAGAAAGACAGAGCACTTGGCTCTGGGTCACACAGCTTATTAGATGCAAAGCCAGGAGTCTGACTGCAGAGTCCACAGCCTTTCTATCACTCAGAGCCACCGCCTGAAGGACTTCCTTTGCCGTGCCCCAGGCTACTTAAGACTTGCCTCTTCTGCTGGCCTGATGCCACACTTCTGCAAACCAGGTGTCCTCTGCTGGTTTCTCCCTTCTTTGATCTTCAGCACAGCCTGTGTCATTTGGTTAGTTTCCCTGAATTGGGCGCCCCGCTGAACTTGAAGTCCATGAGCATAGGGACAATGTATTACGCTCCCTCCAGCGCTCCACAGCCCCCGTGTATTTGACACCTACATAGTTCCCAGAGGGGCTGTCACACGCGTTGGTCGGCTCACCCTGACCTGATGAATACAGTTCTTCCAAAGTTCTCGTTCTCGAACTAGCTGCCTGTGACTGCCAGTTATTTCACCTCTTTGTTCCTGGTTTCCATAGTTATTACATGGAAATATAACAGAGCACCGATATTCTCTACCATGGCTGAGATTAAATGCAGCAAAACATCTTTACATTAGGAAAAGATAAGTTGAAGGATCTAATGTGGTATCCTTCACTCTCCTCTAACATCATCATTGACCCATGAATGGCTATAACCTAAGGATCAGTCATCCTGATGAGTAAGTCTAGTTGGTATGACGCAGTCTGTGAGCGTCACCTTTGGATCGGAGCCGTGTGGGATAGAGCCCCGCTCCCCCCCCCCCGGGTATGATATCCAACCAGTGCGCTTGTACAAACCCACCCCCGTCAAGATGGCCCGCGCCTCCATCTGTACCTAGTTTCATCTCTGAGCTCCTCCGTGCATCCCGGGGGCCAGGAGAGGACCTGGCCTTAGAGTCAGACTGAGCAGACCTTCAACTCTCGTTCTGATGCTCACCAGCCTTGTGGTTTGTAAAAGCTTCTTAATCTCCCTGGGCCTCAATTCCCTCCATTAGGACTGTCTGCGGATTAAATGTAGCTGTCTGTGAGGCACATGGCGCACGTCGTTAGGACCGCTTCTGTTATTCTCTTTCCGGTTCCCATCCGGACCCTGCCTCCTGCGGTAGCTTTTGTCAGTTACATCCCCGGGGTTGCCCTGCCCATCGACACTGCAGAACTATTAATAGCATCATTACCAATAATTATCAGTAACCTCAAAAGTAACGGCACAGACAGCTTCTCGGGAGAGAGCGGAGAAGTGGGCAGACGCTGCCAGAGCGAGCGGGCTCTGTTGCATCAGCCCGTGGCGATTGCATCACCTTGCAAATGTGACTCGAGAAAGAAGCCTCTGTGCTGCGTATCCTGGGATGTGCTGTCACTGCAGCTTCCCTCGCCGGCCCCCCTCTGTCAGGGGCACTCTTGGTACAGAAGCACGATCTGCGGCCACGGAGGAGGAGTATTGGCCCTCTGGGAGAGTACACGAGCAGGGGAGAGCTCCCAGAGCCTGTCTGTGTGTCTTATCTTGGACATTTCGGACACGTGTATCTTGCCGGTGGCTCCATCCGAGCTCCACGGGTGACAGGGAAGAGTCGGTGCAAACAGGCCCTGGTGTGGTAGGTCCGGGGGCATTAGATCCTGGAGTCACACTATCTGGTGTCCACCCCGCGGCGCTGCCAGCCACCTGGGAACCCCACCACCCTTCTGGCCGCAGTGTGCCTTCCGGAGGTACTCGAATTCTAATTAACTTCCCAGGACTTTTCTCCTGCAGCTGAACCGAAGTGATAGCGACAGCTCGACGCTGTCCAAGAAGCCACCTTTTGTTCGAAACTCCCTGGAGCGGCGCAGCGTCCGGATGAAGCGGGTAAGACAGTCACCGCAGAGCTGTTCGTACGCCTGCCCCACGGTCATCTCCCAAGCGCATGCCCCCGTGTCTGACCGTTTGTTCTCAGCCAGAGGTGTGAAGAAGGTTGCTTTTGCAAGCGTGATGGTGCTTATGAACTGTAAGGCCTGTGTAGGCGCTGGGGAAGGTGCCCAAGGGTAAATGTAACTTTAGGATGATGATGAATAGGTTAGGTCCGGAGTGTGCGTACTTGGCCTTGTCTTCCAGGGTAGAAATCAAAGTCACTAAGAACTACCCAACTCAAGGTGTCCCAGTCACTGACGGAAGCTGCCTCTCGCACGACTCTGCTCAGCGTGTCATCCAGCTGACTGAGCAAAGGTTCTGACAGCCCTCCCTGCTGGCAGAGAAGCCGGACACCTCCAAGCCGCCACCGGAAGCGGGGAGGTGCAGATGGGCTTCTCTCCGTCCAGCTGGAAAAGCACCGGGAAGAGGCCACAGGCTGCCTTTGCAGAGAAATCTCCCCCTGCCTTAGGGAGTCTTGGCTCAGAGATCGGGGTGGGACAGTGTTAGGCAAAAGACTGACTCCTGGTGTGCGCTTTGTTAGGAGTCAGAGCTACAGAGATGCAAACGGACCCTTCCCACTCGGGCCCTTCCCACTCTGGGCTGTCAGCATAGAAAGACTACAGTAGTTCTGGGGAGTTTGCAGAACCAGAAGAAACAGGAGTTGGAATGTCAGAAAGACAAGTAGAGAGAGCAAAACAAAAAGAACAGGCAGGGAGAGAGTGCCAACAGCCCCAGGCAGGGGAAGGCTCCTCCACCCCTCCCAAAGACCTCCCGCAGACCTGCTTCTAACAGCAGAGTCAGGAGTAGGTCCTTTGTCTGTCACCACCGTGCTCCCCAAGTCTCCGGAACTAGAGAGTGCAGGAGAAAGGAAGCCACACAGAAGAGGGTGCACACGGTTGGCTGCAGGGGAATATGGACATGGCCTCCAGTGACAGGGCTGGCCAACTGCCAGCCTGGGGTCCCTCCCTCCACCCCTGTCTGCTGTAATTGGTGCTGCACAGTGCCTGGAGCACCAAGAGTCTTCTGGGGAGGTGACTGACAATGCACATTTCCCAGACCACACTCCCAGACAGTCTCATTCAGGCAGCAGGGGTAGGGTCCTAGAAACTGCATTTTGATAAGCTCCCTGGAGAATTCTGGAGCAGGTGTTCTATGATCCACTCCTGGAGAAATGCCTCTGGAAGCACCTGCTTGCTCCCCCCCTGCATTGCCTACAACTCCCTGTCAAGACAGGCCCTCACAATTCGCCCTTTACCTCTTCTTCCTCTTAGCCAAGGGGAACACTTACTGAGAGAACCCTTGATAGATGGATCTGAGCCTACATTTCCTTCAGGCCCTAACTGTGATCTGAAACACAGGAGAGTCCCGAGGCTGGGCCGGGGCGCTTGAGCACTAAGTCCTTCTTCCATTGCGTGCCTGGGCTCTTGTCTCTGCTTCGGCCTGTCCAGGACTGGACATCAGTCAGAACAAAGCACCTTCATTTGTTACTCTGAGAACTTGAGTTACAGAGATCCCTCAGCTGGATTTCCTGGCCCTGCTCATTTACGAGCACAGACTAGACAAGGCTCTCCCTAGAAGGGCATTCTAGAACTTCCACACTGTGCTGCTTCACGGTCCCACAAGTGTGCTTGCCAGCCTTAACTGAGGGGGGCTCTCACAGCAGTGTTTTATGTACCATTTCTCAAATCCGTCTGTCAGCCCTTGTGTTTGTTTTCTATGGCTGCATAACAAATCACAGCAAACTTAGCAGCTTAAAATAGTACAAATTCAGTATCTCATAGTTTCCACAGGTCAGGAGTTCAGGTGCAGGTTAGCTGGATCCTCTGCTCGGGGTCTCACTGGGCTCATATCTAGGTGCTGACTGACTGCATCCTCCTGTGGAAGTTTGGGTAGGGAAAGATTCACTTCCAGGCTCCCTCAGGACATTGGCAGAATCCCTTGTCTTGTGTTTTCTTGCTAGCTGCAGGACAGGAGCTGTTCACAGGGCCCAGAGGTTATTCTCAGGCCCTTGCCATGTGGCCTTTTCCACCATACACATTGTGTCTTCAAGGCCAGATGAGACCTGTTTCCAAGAAGGGCCTAGTTCACCTTTTCGGGGCTCACTGGATTGGGTCAGGCCCACCCAGGAACATCTCCCCTTTGTCTAACTCAGAGTCAGCTGATGAGTTATTTAATCATGGGAGTGCTATGCCATGGTATTCACAGGCCACCCCCCTCAACACTGAAGAGGAGGGCATTCTCCAGCATGTATGTTGGGGGTGGGAATCTCGGGGCCAACTTAGAATCCTGCCTCCATCAGTTATTTAGTTATTTTGTAATCATTACTGTTTTTTGATCGAGAAGGAGAGTAAATGGTTGCATTACTCAGGATCTTTCATATACAGATAACTGAGGAATTCAAATATAACTTGAAAATGCAAGAGGGAATTTACTGGCTCATTTAATGGAAAACTCCAGGATGCTGGACTACCTTCAGGCATGAATTGAGCCTTTGTTGAGACAATGTCATCAAGCCTCAGTCCCGGTCTCATGGCACACTGCTCCTCCCAGATAGCTTAATTCTTAAAAAGGGTCACCCCTTATGGTGGGAAAGATGGCCATGATCAGTTCCAGGCTTAGATCTTGCTGGCTTCATAACCTCGTCTAAAGACTCTTTTTTCCAAGGACTCAGCAGAAGTGCCAGAATTGAAGGTTATTGCTGGGCTTAGACAACATACTCACTCCTGAAGCAGTCACTGAGGTTCTGACTGTCCAGGTTTGGGCCACATTCCTGTCCCTGAAGTCCCCCGTGAACCACCATGTGGGTTGAGCATGGAGGAGGAGTGGATCCCCAAGGGAAGATGATCATTGTCATCACTGTTACTGTCAGATCAGGGGAGTGGGTGCTAGACAAGCAGAAACAGCAGAACATAAAGTCAAGAAGACATGACGTCTCCCTCAAAGAGGCACAGACCTGCACTGAGGAAATAACTTCAGAGCAGGATCATGACAAGAACCCATTAACCAAGTGTGAATGTTGAGGGCACTGAGAGTGGGGAAACTGGGCAGTGTGGGGAGTGAGTGGGTGCGGTCTGGAGCCAACTGCCTGGGCTGGAATCTCAACTTTACCCCCAGCCCCATGCCTGGGACATAAAAATGCTCAATAAACATAAGCTATGGACCTGGGAGAAATCAAGGCAGGCTCTGGGGGAGGGGGAGCCCCATTTTTGAAGAACTAGAAGCCTACAGATAAACAAAGGGGGGTATTTGAGGTTCAGGGGGGCAGGTTGTTGGGGCTTACGGAACCCAGCCCTCTAATAACCAGTCAAAGCTCTCCCTCCCCCCGCAGCCTTCGCCGGTCAAATCCCTGCGCGCCGAGCGCCTGATCCGCACGTCACTGGACCTTGAGCTGGACCTGCAGGCGACCAGGACCTGGCACAGCCAGCTGACTCAGGAGATCTCGGTGCTGAAGGAGCTCAAGGAGCAGCTTGAACAAGCCAAGAGCCATGGGGAGAAGGAGTTGCCCCACTGGTTGCGTGAGGATGAGCGCTTCCGCCTGCTGCTGAGGATGCTGGAGAAGCGGGTGAGAGCCATGCAAGAGGCAAGGGAGGCGGCTTGGTCTGCCCTGCGGGACTGCCCCATGCAGCAGGGGAGGGAGGCCAGAGCTTGGAACAGGGCCTACAATCCTGTGACCCACTAAAGAGTGTTCCCAGGGCCCCTCATTCCCATCAGCAAAAGGATCCAGGAATCCCTTTGCCCAGTAAACTTTATTAACTCTTGACCTGGCTGCCAGGCCCTTTTGCTGCATTTCCATGTTTATGTGTGCAAGGCCTTATTATTCACACTTTTGTTCATCAAACATTGGGTACCTAATCTGCGCTGGGGCACACACTTGAATAGAATAAATACAGAACACTGACCTGCCCCAGTGTCTGCCCATGCGGTCCCACAGAGTACGCATCTCCAAAGACACGTTTGCATATGGAGGAAGTCCCTCACTGCAGGAGAACTCCCGAAGGCACTTCTCTGGGCCACCACCTGGAGGAGAGGAGGACAGGGGATCTAGGAGCATCTAGCATCTAGATGCTGTCCCTCAGCTGCACAGGACTCTCTGGGTCAGAAAGCTCCAAAGTAGCAGCAGCTTCAGGTCCTTTATGGCCCTGGGGTTTATCTTATCTATGGCTAGCAAATGGTGGGTACAACTTCATGGGGTCTGCAAAGCTGGCAGTTTCTAAATGGCTAAAAAAAAATCTGCTTGGGGCGCCTGGGTGGCTCAGTTGTTGGGCGTCTGCCTTCGGCTCGGGTCATGGTCCTGGGGTCCTGGGATCGAGTCCCACATCGGGCTCCCTGCCCGGCAGGAAGCCTGCCTCTCCCTCTCCCACTCCCCCTGCTTGTGTTCCTGCTCTAGCTATCTCTCTCTCTGTCAAATAAATAAATAAAATCTTTAAAAAAAAAAAAATCTGCTTGTTGGAGCTATATTTAAAGCAATTGGATGCCTTAAAAATTTGACTTTGGCACCAGTGGGGTGGTGAGCTGACAGGTCCCAGGCTGTCATGAAAAAGTAACAACACAGGGTCAATACACAGAGGCCATCTTCAACTCATTTATATATCTGCTACTCCTGGACTGTCACCCATGGCAGGAATGACCTTTGCTAGTTTTCTCCGCACACAGCCAAACAAGGCACCTTACAGAGGGTGCCTGCCTGGGTTGCTGGGAGAGCCATTAGCTGAAGGTGCAGCTCTTGGTGCAGGTGATAATGCCTTAGTGTAGGAAAGTGGTGGTGGGCTTCTGAGGTCCGGACTAGGGGGGCCTTCAAATGGACTCTTCTAATTCAAGAGTTCCAGAAATGTTTATTTCTAATTTATAACTTATACCCTGTATACTTATAATAGGCAAAGACAGGAAGGGAGGGAGGGAGGAAAGGAGGGAGGGGAGGAAGGAAAAGAAGGAAAGGAAGCCTGACCTCTCAAATAGCAAAAGAATAGTACATCCATGACTGACCTTCTACTAAAAAACCATTTAAATGATGGCTTCATTGGGGCGGCTGACTCTTGATTTCGGCTTAGGTCATGATCTCGGCATCCTGGGATTGAGCCCCACATCTGGCTCCGTGCTCAGTGGGGAGTCTGCTTGGGGATTCTGTCTCCTCTCTCTCTCTCTCTCTCTCTCAAATAATTAAATAAACCTTTAAAAAAATCATGGCTTCATTGGCCAAAATTCCATCTTCATGCAGTGTTTTCAAGTATATGGTACATGGATATTTCAGGGCTTTTTGTGGTTTGTTCTCCAAAGTGCTTACACAGGTTTGCATTAGGTGGAAGGGGTGCAGTGTCCCTAAAGCCCTTGAGCACAACCAAATGATTGGAATTGGGTTTCTACCGCTTCTTAGTGTTTTTGACATTAAAGAAATTTCTTAACCTGCCTGAGCCTCCATTTCCTCGTCTATAATATAGAAGCAATTATAAAATGTACCTTTCTAGGTGGCCCTGAGGATTAGAAAGGTAGGACACATTTCTCTAGGCAGCCCTCATCTCCTTAACACACAGGTATTCAGTTCCCTGGCCCCAGAAACCTGTCCACCCCGACGGACAGTGGGACCACGTCTCATCACCATTCTGAACAGAGGATCCTGCCGTGGAACAGGAAGGAGTGAGCGTGCCCGTTCTGTGACCCTCAGACCTCTTGACTACCATAGACTCCTCTTTTGTGCTAGGAAGTTGTCACTGGCTGACCCCTCTCTAGAGGCCCTGAGGACTCCATACCACCTCACAGCCCTGCTTGCTTTGCCCTGCAGATGGACCGAGCGGAGCACAAGGGTGAGCTCCAGACAGACAAGATGATGCGGGCAGCTGCCAAGGATGTACATAAGCTTCGAGGCCAGAGCTGTAAGGAGCCCCCAGAAGTGCAGTCTTTCAGGTAAGCAAGTGGGCCCCTGGCCAGCCCACCTTGCCCTTTCATACGCAGCCTCCCCAGCCTCGGCCGCCCCGCCCCGGCCCATGCTCCCTCCACCAGCAGAGCACTGGCTCCCCCTATAACAGATGTGTACCCTCTGCCACGCCATCCCCGGGGGGCCGTGAGCGCCGCCGTGCTTTCCCTCAGCCGTCTCTATCAATCTGCACACAACGCGAGCTAATTTGTTAGGTCCTCCTGTTGAACGAATGAGCCACCTGCTCCGGCCTTCCTCTGAGCGTTTCCATCACCGGTAATTACGGAGAATTGGCTGAATGATAAATAAGCCTGGGGGTGATGGGGGCTTTTGCTGGGCCTCCCTGCCTCTGCCTGCTGCCTGCTGGGATATTAGGGAGGTGCTTTCTTGCCTGGATCCAGGCACTTCTCAAGAGGGCCCAAATGCCATTTGGCCGGGGCCTCCCGTTCACAGAGGCCCTTGCATTTAGACTCATGATAGCCTCCTAGAGAAGGCACTGGTGGTTGTGTATGTGCTCAAAAGAGAAAAAAGAAAGAAAAGAAACAGGCCTTTCTGGAATAGAAACATTTAAAATATACTGTCATTTGAGGATCATAGGGAAGGGAGGGAAAAATGAAACAAGACGAAACCAGAGAGGGAGACCAACCATAAGAGACTCTTAGTCTCAGGAAGCAAACGGAGGGTTGCTGGAGGGGAGGGGGGTGGGAGGCATGGGGCGGCTGGGTGATGGACATTGGGGAGGGTATGTGCTATGGTGAGCGCTGTGAATTGTGTAAGACTGATGAACCACAGACCTGTACCCCTGAAACAAGTAATACATTATATGTTAATAAAAAAAAGAAAAGAAAATATACTGTCATTTGTATAACTGTATTTGGACACCTCTTAATTTTTAACCAATTGGGAATCTTAAACAAACAAATGAACACTGCAAGTGGCCCAAGGGCCCGTTTAAACTTAGGCCTGTGATTTGAACTGAAGGTGGCCGGTCCTGCTAATGTCCCTAAACTAGTGGTTCTCAACCACGGATGACTGGGGCACCCCGGGGACATTTGGCAATGTCTGGGGACATTTTTTTGGTTGTCACAACTGGAAGGAAGGATGGGGGAGGGGCTGCTACTGGCACCGAGTGCCTGGAGGCCAGTGATGCTGCTAACCATCCTACAGTGCACAGGACAGCCCCCACAACAGAGACTGATCCCACCCATAATACCTAAAAAGTAAGGTTGAAAAACCCTGCTCTGAAGCGCTGGTCTCTTTTGTAGGGAGAAGATGGCATTTTTCACCCAGCCTCGGATGAACATCCCGACCCTCTCTGCAGATGATGTCTAATCGCCAGAAAAGTATTTCCTTTGTTCCACTGACCACGCTGTGAACACAGACTGTGGCTAAAGTTATTTATGTGGTGTTATATGAAGGTACTGAGTCACAAGTCCTCGAGCGCTCTTGTCGGTTTGAAGACGAACAGATTTTTTTTTTTTTTTTAGTTTGGGTTCTATTATTATTAAAAAACAAAAACAAAAAAAACAAAACCAGCATTAAAATGACAAGATTGTATAGTTTGTATATTTAGGAATGTATTTTTGAGAAAGAAAATTTAAATGAACTAAAGCAGTGTTAAGTTGCTGCTCTTCTTAAAATTGTTTAGTTTTTTTTGTTTTTTTTTTTTTGTACAGCTCTACCTTCTAGAGGTTTCACTGCAATAAAAAGTAATGTTTCAGGGACGGTAATCCTAAAAGGACGTCCCACAGGTGTCAACAGCACAGCTGACCTTTCCTACTTAACACATTTTGTACAATATAAAAAAAAAAAATGTCTGGAACCATTTGGGGAATTCTGAGATGCATTTGCAAGTCTTCATGAGCTGTGATGTGTTTGTATGTGGCCGCCTGACGTGGGGCAGGCAGCAAGGAGCTGGCTGAGCAGCCCAGCCCGAGTGGCAACAGGCCTGCCCACGCCAGTCTCGGATGCCCAGTGAAGCCACTGAAGTGAGTGAGGGAGGGCTGTGGAGAGCTCCTTTCAGTTTCATCTCCATCAATAAAGTGGCCTTTCTGAACGAATTTTCGCTCTCTTTTTCCCCCCCACCTCTCACTTCATCTGTTTCTCCCTAATTTTTGACCTGCCCCTTCCTCACCATTTCCTCTCCACCGGTCTCCAGGCCAGGGGGCGGTTTTTCTCTTGCGGGCAACACCGCTCGTTTGCTCATCAGATTTAAAACCACTGCCCAGCTGGGGCTGTTGCAGACAATGGGGAATCAGCCTTTAACTATATTTTTTCGTCCCAAAGCTATCTGTAGCCATGGTTCACGTTTCCGGGATCAATCCCGCAGAGAGAAGCCGATATAAGTGGGGAAACTAGGGGTAGACCTGGGGTTTGAATCCTCCATCCTCTCCCTAGTTGTAGCCTGTCTGGTGAACCAGGACAAGAGAGCTGGTAAAGGGCACCTGGGTGGCTCAGTCGGTTAAGTGTCTGCCTTCAGCTCAGGTCATGATCTCAGGTCCTGGGATCAAGCCCCTCGATGGGCTCCCTGCTCAGTGGGGAGTCTGCTTCTCCCTCTTCCTCTGCCACTCCCCCTGCTTGTGCCTCTCTCTGTGTGTGTCTCAAATAAATAAAATCTTTTTTAAAAAGAGCTAATAAAAAGGTGAAGGTCATGCAGTAGGGTTTTTTCACTCAGTCACACCTTCATCCGTGGTCAGCTCTCCCAGCAAGGCTCAGCCCCTCACACACCGGCAGCATCAGCTTCTGTGAAGCAGAGCTCCTAGCGCCCTCCTTGTGTGCGGGAAAGGCTGTGTGGAGCCAACCCTCCCACCCGAGCAGTATGTCTCAGTGTTGCTTCGGCTGATAGAGCATCTGCAGGCGGCCTTCTGTCCGCCATGGCGTTGAATTCTGAACAGTTCATGGCACACCAGCAATAACATCCTGTCGTTTGCCTGGCGAGAAATTGAAGAGTAGATAAAGAAATTTCACTCGGAATCATGCACGTGTGTTCTCCAGAATCTTCAGGAAACACAGTTTCAGAAATGTGGAAAGATCTGGTCTGGGTCTCTCAGATAACAAATGGCCAGAGCTAGGACACAAACGCTGTCTGTCGCCTCCCACATGTCTTCTGTGTTTCAGCTCTGGTTTCTGTTTCATGGCACTGTGGTCACATGTGGGCCCTACTCAAAGGGAATTTGAGGGGCGCCTGGGTGGCTCCGTCGGTTGGGCGACTGCCTTCGGCAAGGGTCATGATCCTGGAGTGCCGGGATCGAGACCCGCGTCAGGCTCCCTGCTCAGCGGGGAGTGTGCTTCTCCCTCCCCCTCTGCCATTCCCCCTGCTCCTTCTCTCTCTTTCGCTCGCTCTAGCTCTCTCGAGTAAATAAATAAAATCTAAAAAAAACAGTTGGGGGGGATTTGAACATTTGGTTTTGAAGAGTGAGGTCATGAAATCCTGTGGCTTCTCTGCAGGAGGGTATGAGAAAGGTGGCATGACTAGGACACTAGCCTGAGAAAAGACCGACCGGCTCTGACCCATTCACAAAACCAATGGTTGCCTTTGACCGCAAAGCCTTTTGCCATGTTCACATTGGCTATCTTTGTGCTTCCCGCATCCAAGAAGGCTAATAAGATCTGTCCAGTTAACTGTCTCCCTGCTAATCAGACTCCAGCCACCTTAACCTTTCTTTTCTGTATTCTGTGCTTACAATTCTGGTTCCTTCTGCCCAGTCCACTCTTCCTTCATGTCTTCACCCTGTCTTCATACAGCTCTCTGATTATCAATATTCTGATCCCAGTTCAAGCCTCGCCCCTCAGAGGGACCTCTCCCCCTGACCCTGGGCCACCCTATCCAACTTACCCTCCCACATGTCCCTCTCTGACACAAGGACCCACTTTGCTCAGAACACTGTTCCTCTGCATTCATCTTATTACATCCCCTCCTCTGTCTCTTCCCTCTAAAATGGAAGATCATAAAGCAGGGACCTTGTTTGCCATGCTTTCTGTTGAGTCTGAGGCAGAGTGGGTCCTTGATAAATATTTGTGGAACAAATGAATGAGATCAAATGTCTTCCCCAGAGCTATGTTTACTCCCTTCTTTGTCATTCCTGACCAGGGCAAAGGAAGATTCTGGGTGGAACAAGAGTACCGAAGGCTGTTCTTTGGGGTGTAGGGTTGTGGACCCCCCTCTGATCCAGCTCAGTGCATGCCCCACCAAGTATGCACAGGCCACCTACAGGGTAAAGAAGCAGAAGTGATTGGGATGGCTAACACCCACACACAACGTTCACATTCTTTGAGGGAAAAGTCAGGTTATTTACCCTGAAATCATTCCTCTCCTGTAACAATCAGTCATGTTACGTTAATAGCTAATACTTAGATACCACACAAAATCCAAAGGGTACACAAGAGTCTCGGTAGCACATCCTTCCACTCACTGTAGGCCTAGGCACTGTTCTAAACGTTCACTTATTTTTAACTCATCCTCGTTACAACCCCATGAGGTAGGTACTATTATGATCATTCCAGTTTTACCATTGAGGACTCGGCTCAGAGGAGTTACTTGCCCAACATCATACATATGGTAAGTGGTAGAACTAGTAGTAAACATGGTGTGCGCTCTCAAGACTCCTCACTACAGTCACCAGAGACCCTTATATGTGTATCCTTCTTCCGCCTCAAAATGCATGCTAAATGTACTGTCCTGTACCTTGCCGTTTCTCAGTAAGGTATCTGTAAACAACTTCATTCTTTTTTTTTTTTTAAGATTTTATTTATTTATTTGAGCAAGAGAAAGAGAACACGAGCAGCAGGAGGGGCAGAGGGAGAAGCAGACGCCCTGCTGAGCAGGGAGCTGGATGTGGGGCTCAATTCTGGGACTCCAGGATCAGGATCTGAGCCCCCCAGGCACCCCAAACAACTTAATTTTTTTAGCAACAATGTAGTATTCCACTGAACGATGTACCATAAATTAATTGGTGGACAGTGATGTTGTAGCCAATCTCTTGCTTTTACAGTGTCTAATTGGTCTTTGAACATCCCTTCTTTCACACGCGTATGAGCATATCTGTAGATTAAGTACTGCCTACAGTTTTGAAATGCACGATCAGAGCTCCACATGAAACTGAATTGCCTCTCAGACATTTCTTCTCAGCATGTTTGCTACCTTCGCTAAGTGGCATGAAGATTCGTGGCAATAATACACTTTAGGTACTGAACACAGAGATGTAAGTTGTTAATGAACGGTAGGGAAGTTGTTATGTTCTATCAAGGGACTATATTCTAGTTATATTTCAGATGCTTCTGGGAATAAGTACATCAATTTTTTAAAAGATTTTATTTATTCATTTGAGAGAGAGCACGAGCAGAGGGAGAGGGAGAAGCAGACACTCCGCTGAGCAGGGAGCCCGACATGGGGCTCGAT